TTCACTTTTCATCTACCTATGAGGCCTTGCCCATGCTAAGCTTTTAAATTCTGGGCAGAATTTTTGTGCCTTATAATACAGGCTTTCATTTTCTGCAATATCTGACAGAAACTTTAAGTGTAAAATTTAAGAATCAATTTCCAACGAAAAAGCCTAGAATGAGGTAGGAAATGCGTCGAAAGCACAAGGTCCTGAGTTAGATCCCCGGTACGAAAAAAAAAAAACCTCAAGGAAGGAAATAATATTTCTCCTTTGAGACAAGGTCTCCTTGTATAGTGCAGCCTGACCTCAAACTCACTATGTATTCTAGGATTGCCTCAAACTCAAGGTGATCCTCCTGGCTCAGCCCCTGAGTGCTAGAATGATAGGTGTGCACCACCATACCTGGCATGTTTCTCCAGTTTTTTGGTTAAGAACTTGCTTTAATATATATAAAAAAAAAGAACTTGCTTTATTGCTGGGAATGGTGGCGGCATCCCAATAACTCTGGGAATCTGAGGCAGGAGGATCAGCCTGGGCAATGTAGCAAGACTCGTTCTCAAATAAAAAATAAAACTGCTGGGGATGTAATTCATGCAAAGGCCTATGCTCAAACCCTAGTACAAAAAAAGAAAACAAAAAGAAGAAAACAACAATGGCAAAAAGCAAAAAAGAGAAATTGCTTTATATAAATATAGAACTTCAAGTGGTGCCTCCACCTTCCTCCCAAGCACAAGGCCCTCAGTTTGATCCCCACTTCCAAAAAACAAGAACTTCAAATACAGAGCTCTTGTAGTTTTCAGTTATCTCAGCAAGTCATTATCTAATGGGCTCCATAATCCAGGCCCAGTGCCCCACACTTGTAATCCCAGCACATGAGGAGGGTGTGACAGGAGGATCTCGACTTTGAACCCACCCTAGACAATGTAGTGACTTAGGGAGAACTCGTCTCCAAAGTAAAAATAAGGGGCGGGGATTTACCTCAGTGGTTCCTCTGCCTGCCTCATAAGCACAAGGACCCGAGTTCGATCCCTGGTACCAATAAAACAAAGTAAAAATAAAAAATGGGCTACAGGTGTAGCTTAGTGCAGAAGCCTTGGGTTCAATACCTAGTACCACAAAAACAAAGACAGCTTCATGCTCTTTTGTAAACATACATTCCTTTTTTGACTCATGTAAGAGCTTAAGCAGAAATAGATTCAACTAGAGATACCTAGAAAGGGCATGTTGATTAATCCTGAGTTTTTGTATAATCCATGGCCTTTAGGCTATGGGGTATAAGTCTGAGGCAGGGCTGTTAGTAGGGTAGGGGAGGCTCCTGTGGCTGATGTGCAGGTAGGGGCCAGATCATCTGCACCATCTCCAGACTTTCTCAGTATGTGATTGCACCCTGATGCATAGGCTGGGGGCAACAGGAGTGTAGCTTCCATTTGTCTATATGACACATCTGTGGGTGATGTGAGACTTGTGCCAAGTACATCAGAAACTTCCACACTAGATCAGTGAACATAGCCCGACCAGGATATATTTACCTCAGACCATTCAACCAAACCCGCGGGCCATGCCTGCCTCTAATCTCTAGGACAATGATGTAAGAATCACACAAGGATTGTTTTTTACTATTGTTTTGTGGGGTTTTGTTGTTGTTGTTGTTTGATGTTTTGAGACAGGGTCTTGCTATGTAGTTCAGGCTGGCCTTGAACTCACTCACGGTGATCCTCCTGCTTCAGCCTCCTGAGTGCTGGGATTACAGGCATGCACCACCACACCCAGCAAGTATTGTTATTTTTAAACAACAGTCTCCTTCACATAGATATTTTAAATCCATTTGTTTTGCTTGGGTGTAGGACTGTTGTCATTCCTCATGAAAAGGAAGATGGCCCAGAAGCCTGCTCTTTGGATGGTTTTGTCAGATGTACTCCAGAAACTGTCAGTTGTGGTTTAGGTGAGTCCTGATTGTCCTGAAAGTATGTCAAGTTCAAAGGGCAAATTAACTCATAGTTTTTGGTGGTTCTGCAGAGGATTGAATTGTGGGCTACACTTGTGCTAGGTAGGTGCTCTACCATTGAGCCACATCTCCAGCACAAATGAACTCATTTTTAACAAAAGTTAATTGGATGAAATCATGGCCATCTTAACCACTCCATATTCACTTTTTTTTTTTTTTTTTTTTTTTTTTGAGGCAGGGTCTGGCTGTGTAGCTTAGGCTGGCCTGGAGCTTGCAGCAATCCTCCTGTCTCAGCTTCCTGAATGCTGGGATTGCAGGTGTGCACAACCATGCCCAGCTCATATTCACTAAATGTTTTCCTAGCAGTGATCTCAGATTTGTTCTTTGTGACATTTGTGGGAGTAATGGCAATAAATAGTATTGTTCCCAGTGTACACATATAGAATAACTTGTCACGCTGGCACAGAAAGAGTTCGACCCAAATCCTTTCTCTTTCGCATCATGCAGAATAGTGATTATAAGCTTTGGACACCTAGGATTGCGTGTTAACTCTGTCTCTTAGGTTTTTTAATGCAATTGTAAGTTTTATTGCCTGAGACATTTGTAGATAATTAGTGTCTTTATCCTGCAGTCTCTATCTGCAATATAGGGTTATTGTTCTACCTAATTTATGGAGGATATTGTCAGGGTAATTGAGATAATGAATGTAAAAGCTCAGAACTATCGTTACGTGGTAAGCAAGGTATAAGTATTATTATCATTTTCTCTTGAAATAAATAGATAAACTGCTGAATCAGGAATTCAGTCTTGGGCCAGGGATTTAGCTCAGTGACACTGCACCTGCTTTGTAAGCACAAGGTCCTGAGTTCCATCCCCAGTACTGAAAAAAAAAAAGAATTCAGTCTTAGGTGTGGTAGCACATGCCTGTAATCTCAGCACTTGGGAGGCTGAGGCAGGAAGGATTGCTATAATTTCGAAGCCAGCCTGGACTACATGGTGAGTTCAAGACCAGCCTGAACTGTACAGTGAGACCCTGTCTTTTAAAAAATGAATGAATGAATGAATTAAAAATGTTGCTGAGGATGTGGAGAAAAAAGAGTCTTTATTTTTTAACAATTCAGTCTTTGTTTTCATTCATGGCACTGACACTTTGGATGAACAGGACTCCTAAGAATCAGCTGCTTTCGTGTGAGCCTTGGAAATAGTCATACTATTGAATAGCAGTGCTCTCTGCTGAGTTTCACAGTGAGGTGAATGTTACAGGCTGTGCTCAAGGGAAACTTGAGGATGAGCAGAGTCCCTGAACAGAATTGCCCTCGTGCTGCACAGCCCTGGAGGCTTAGACACTGAGAAATCCTAGCTGAGTTATCAGAGACCCTGATTTGCTTGTGACAGTGGTTCTTACTGGTCTCAGCCTTGCAGCATGGGCAGCCTTCCAGCGAAAGTCTGACTTTTGTGGTCACTGCCTGGAATTTCCATTAACTCTCAGTAATAACTTTTAAGAACAAAGTAAATAGGTTGTTTACTTCTTCATAACGTGCTATGGTATCCCTTGTATTAATCCCACACTCCTTAGATGCAAAACGTTATGGCTCTAGTTTGCTTTGAGGACAGCTGTATTGTCTGTAAGGTACGTGGGCCAGTTTCTGCCAACGCAAGGTTGCAGTGCTTTCTCTGAAGCTTTGCTCATTGAAGCTGGTGGCGTTTTGGTTCTTAGAGAGTAGAAAATTGCCCCTTGCTTCTCATATGAAACATCTGCTTGTCCAGTGGACTCCAGCACAGGTTTGAACTCACTTTGAGCCCAGATAATGTCTTACTTTTATTCATTTGAAGAATTTTGGTTCCAAATTCCTGTCAGCATTCCTTAGTTCCCATTTCTAAGATCACAAACTTCATTGAACGAAATGTATAAAGTTGATATTTTATACATATTTAAAAATTATTTTTATTGGTACATTTTAGATATACATAATGATCACATTTATCAGAGGATCTGTACCTGTACATAATATATCTTGTGTCTTCTTTTTTCTCCAATTGCCTCCCCTCCCTTCAACCTCTCTTTCTCTCCTTATTTACAAAAGCTAGTTTCCATTTTTTCTTTATATGTATATTTTTTCTTTTCCCTTCCTTTGTTTCTCCCTTCCCCCTCCCTTGTTCTCCTTCCCATTTCACCATTTTCTTCCTACTTCCCAATGTCTATTATATATTTCAGTACTTATTTGCAATTTTGGTTTCTCACATCAGAGAAACAATGTGAATTTTTCTTTTTTTTTGTACTGGGGATCAAACTCAGGACCTTGTGCTTGGGAGGCAGGCACAGCGCCACTGAGCTAAACCCCAGCCACAATGTGAAATTTAAACAGGTGTGTCCTATTTATTTCACTTAAGAGTATGGTTTTAAGATGCATCCATTTACCTAAAAATGTTGGAAGTTTATCCTTCTTTATGGCTGAATAGTACTCCATTGTATAAAAAAATCTTCCTTATCCATTCATCTGTTGATGAGCATTTAGGCTGTTTCTAAGATATAGCTATTACAAACTGTGCAGCCATAAACGTGGGTGTGCATATATCATTGTATAAGGTGTAGTGAAAACAGGTGTGTGTTTTCCTGGCTCCTGAAGGTCAGGGGAGAGGCTCCAGCTTGGGTCCAAGCTTTGCTCACGAGGCTACGCTGATGTCCTCAGAAGGCAAAGATCTGGCAGGTGGAATTGCTGCCACTCATAACCAGACAGTCATGAACTGAGGGAGGCGAAAAGCCAGGATTTGGTCTGATGTGTAACTGCCAGCGGCAGACAGTATAGAAGCGTCCAGCCAGCGCAATGAGGTGGGGGTGCGGGGTGGGGGGTGGCTTGCGTGCGGAGCCTGGCTAGTGTCTTGGAGTAGCTAGTAGTGTCACTAGCACTGTACCTAGGCTCAGGCGCCTGGGCCCTCAAGGCTTCTGGGAGCGGCTGGTCCCTCCCACGGCTCCTGTGGGGCCCGCGGTTGGCTCTACGGTTCGGGGGCGGGACCGGAACTCCAGAGCCTGAGTGAAGACCTCAGTCACCCCAGAGCTGTTAATAGTTTTTAGCCGCTGGAAGCGGGCGGAGTCACCTGAGGCTGAAGGGGTTGAGTGGCCTGAACCACTCTGTTCGGCTCCTGGACCACCTTTGGTGAGGAACAGGGCAGGGGCAGAGGGGCCCACACGAACGGTGGGCCTGCCGGCCTCGCAGTGATCCCAGACTCTGGTTGCCTTGAGACCATCGGGCCTGCTGCTCGGTCCTCCATCTTCTCCCTCTGTGACCTGGCCTCAGCCCTGACCCCATCCACTCCGCACTGGCCTTGAGGAAATACAGCCCACTGGGACCCCTCCAGCCTGTTGCAACCCCGGTCTGGGCCACAACCCTTTGCCTCTTCTTACCCCATCTTCACCCAACCCCTCTGGTAACCCTAATGCTCCGCACAAGCCTCCCGAGAGCCACCGTTCGGGTTTCGCCCTTCAGGCTCACAGTTCTTATCCCAGTTGCCCACAGTCCCGTGAGCTCCCGACATGCTCTCATCACAGACATCATACCTCTGTCTCCTTCCTTTCAATGAACACCCCACCCCGTCGATCTCCCCCTCTTCTGGATAACTGTGACCTCAGCCTGCTCCTGAGGCTTTTATGTATCTTCTTTTTATTTATTTTTTTAAATTTTGAGACAGGGTCTCACTATGTAGTTGAGGCTGGCTTCAAACTCACTATGTACCCTTGGCTGGCCTCAAACTCGTGGTGATCCTCCTGCCTCAGCCTCCTGAGTGCTGGGCTTACAGGCAGGCACCACCAGGCCCAGCTCATTCCTATTTTTTCATACTTAAAAATTGATACTTACTTTTTATTAGCAGAGAAAGTTAAATAAACATCTTATTCCTCCCTAGAAGAAATTCTTCCCGTAAGAGAAGAGGACTACATAACATGTGTGAAGATAATCCAGAAATGGTCTCTTCTATGTGTGTTCCTGCCTCTGAAGACTTTCCAGTGGGACCGATAGAGGTGGAAACCAGTGATAGTGATGAACCTGGCCATACGTAAGGCTAACTTACTCTGTTTTTGTTGTCTTCATTTTTGTTTTTTTTGGTACCAGGGATCGAACCTGGGTCCTTGCGCTTGTGAGGCAGGCAGTGGAACCACTGAGCTAAATCCCCAGCCCTTGTTGTCTTAGTTTTAAATAAAATAAGATTAAGGTTAAAAAATGGAAAAAAGATTATAGAAGATTATAATGAAAATATTTTTATGTAGCTCTCCAACATGGTGGTTTTATGATGTTATTACAAAGGAGTCAAGAGTCTTGGAAATTGAAAACTATAAATTAAAAAATTACAATAGGTAAAGGTTATTTTGTGGCTAGAAAAGGCACTTGTGAATTTATTATAACTTAATTCTACAATGTGTACAAAATTTACAGTCGATTGCATGTGGCATGCTAGGCTTTCACATTCCTAAGCCTTCACTTTCACTCCCAAATCACTGAGATTCACTCAGAACATCATCTAGTCCTTCAAGTTCCATTCGTGGTAGGTGCCCATCACAGGTGCACCCTTTTCTATATTTTGTACCCTATGCTTACCATACCTTTTCTATGCATTTGCGGTTTTATATACACCCATACATAGCACTGTGCTACCACTGCCTGCAGTATTTAGTGCAATAACACACTACACAGGTGTACAACCCAGAAACAATAGGCTTACCAGTGATGGTGAACCTTTTAGAGCTTTCAGTGATACAAATAGCCTCCCACCTCTGGGCTGTATTCTATAGCCAGGTCTGTAGTAGGTGACACTGTTCAGTGTCGTGTAAACACACATTATGATCTTCACACAATAATAAAATTGCCTTAACAATACATTTCACAGATTGTACCCCCATTGCTCATTGAGAACTAACACAGCTATTCCTACAGAGTTCTCACCTCTGTGTTTTCCTGCAGTGGAAATGGAAATTCATAGCCAAGAGACCTTCCTTTAATATGTGTCACTGATAAATGTTTGTAATTTATATAACATTTCATTCATGTTATGAAATTTTGAGCATTATATAATTTCTGTCAATTTCAATATTACATTTATAGGCTTGCTTTCTCTTAAACAGGAGTTCTCACTTGAGAACTCATTGTTAAAATATTTTCCTCTTCTATCCAAATAGCTGGGTTTCAAGTCAGTGTCTTTGTTTTTTTTTTTTTTTTGGTACCGGGGATCTAACTCGGGTCCTTCGACTTGTGCAGCAGGCACTGAAACCACTGAGCTAAATCCCCAGCCCTGTTTTTTTATTTTTGTGGTTTATCAATAGTATGCATCATCTTGGCTTGAATGAATATCCAAGAAAGGAATTAATGTATTGTCACATTCTATATGTTCATAGATTTTTCTCCACAGTGAGTTTTTTTCATGTCCTCCAACAGAACTGGGTCAACTAAAGGTCATAATGCATTTCTCATATTCACAAGGCATTAGTTTTTTTCCTCCGCTATGAGTTCTTTCATGAATTTAAGGACACTGAATAAAGGGAGGAGCAATGACACTGTTTACTTTCATGTTTTCCCCAGTATGAATTCTTTCCTGTCTTTAAAGGAAACACAGATGAACGAAGGCTTTTTCTAGATTTCTTACACTTACAGGGTTTTTCTCTCTAATATGAGTTATTTCATACATTTTAAAGAAATAGGACACTATGAAGGCTTTACCATATTGTTGACATTCATAGGATTTTCCACCATTATGAATAATGTCATGTAATGGAAGGTAGGTAGAACAACCAAGAACTTTACTACGTAGTTCTCATTCATAGAGGTTTTCTCCAGTATGGGTTCTTTCATGTCTTTGAAAAGAATTGGGATAAATGAAAAGTGAACATTGTTTACTTTCATAGAATTTTTCTCCTGTATGAATTCCTTTGTGTACTTGAAGGGATCTGAATGACTGGAGTCTTTATGACACTAGAGTATGTACATTGTTTGCCCCAGTACAAGTTCTTTAATGTCTTTGAATGAAAAAGGATAAATGTAGACTTTAATACATTGTTCACATTCATAAAGTTTGTCTCCAGTGTGTGTGCTTTTATGTATTAAAGGAAAGTGAAACAACTGAAGGACTTAGCACAGTATTCACATTCATACATTTGTTCCTCACTATGAATCCTTTCATGTCTTTGAAGAAAACTGGAATGAAGGGTTTACCAAATTTTTTTATATTAATAGGGTTTATCTTTCCTTCCAGTATGAGTCATTTTCTAGATTTTAAAGGAATAGGAATATTGAAGATTTTACCACATTGTTTATATTCATAGTGTTGTATGCCAGTGTGAATTCTTTCATGATGTTGAAGGGAACTGGAACTGAAGGATTTCCAGAGTTTACATTTATGTGGTTTTTCCCCCAGTAGGATTTATTTTGAATGGAATAGGAAGAAATGAAGGCTTTACCGCATTGTCTGAATTCATGCAACTTTTTCCCCTTATTTTTTCAGATACTTGAAGGTAACTGGAACAACTACCACAATGTTTATATCCATAGGTTTTTCCTGGAGGCAAAACATTTATGACATTCAAGGATCCTGGGAATGATGAAAGCTTAGGCATACTGTATAATATAGACATTTTTTTGCTACAGGATGTATTTTTCCATGTCCTTGAAATGAACTAGGACAAACAATGGCCTTTGCAAAATCCTTGCCATGATAAAGTTTTTCTCCCATTTGAGTTTGTTGACAGACTTGAAATGAACTGGGAAAAGAAAGGGCTTTCAAACATACCTTACATTTAGGAGGTCATTTATGATCTGATTTGGTTTACATGTGTGCCTTTGAACACTTGTGAGAGAAATCAATGTTTCACCACTTTCTTTACATTTATATAGCTTCTCTGAATGCTCCTCACACTCACATGGTATCGGTCAAGTGCAATATATTGTGCCTGTTGAGGGATGACTGACACATGAAAACTTTCTCACACATACTGCATTCACATGGTTTTACTTCAAGATTTTTTTTTTTGCACAGATTGAGATCTGGGATCCAGACATAGGATTTACTGTGCTGACCACCTACAGTGATACCTCAGTTGTCAAATGGTTCCAGACTTGTACTTTCCACTTCTTTATTTTATTTTATTTTATTTTGTACCGGGGATTGAACTTGGGTCCCTGCGGTTGCGCAGCAGGCAGCAAAACCACTGAGCTAAATCCCTGGCCCTATTTTCCACTTCTTGAACAGCAAAGCTTGAAAAACACCTGGTCAGTGTTCGTAACTATGCTCAATAGTCAAACCAAAAATCTGACTTTAAAAAACGCATATAGGCTGAGAATGGGTCGTGTGTCACATCTGGCTCCAGAGGGGTGACACTTCAGTATGAGTGCCGTTCTTGGCCAGACAACATACAGTGCTTGTGTTAGTATGTTAATTTAGTCATTGTGCTTTTTTGTGATTTTATTTGTGTAAAATATCATAATCATGGCTACAAAGAAAGTTAGTGATACCAGCAGTAAAGCTAAGAGGAAAACTGCAAGACTCACTATAGAATCAAAGAGAAATCATTGTGAAATTTAATGAAGTACTAGAAAAAATGAATGTGTATGCATGTAATTTTGAGGCCTCAGAACCAATTATTTGGTTTTCCATTATTTCTTATGGGGAAAACATTTTCGGTTTTTAAACTTTTCAGTGTTCAAACATGAATTTGGAATGAATTGAGTTCGACAACCAAAGTATCACTGTCCTTTGATTTTACAGAGCATCTCTTCCATATGGCTGCTTACATTTCACCCAAAATGTTTGCATTAATCTTCCATATTCTTGTTTTTCTATTTGTTTTCTCTCCAAGCCAGACTCTTGAGGGTTTCCAGCATCACTTTTCTGTAGAGATTCTTCTTGAAAGGATCAAGCAAAGACCACTCCTCCTGAGTGATGTTCAAAGCCAGATCCTCAAAGGCCACTGACACCTAACACACTCCGCTTCCCGACTCCTGTAGTTCTCCTGGCATCCTCCCTACAGCTCCTGCAGCCAATGGAAGTCACAGTGCCACTAAGGTAGAGTCACTTGGTTCCTCACTCAGCAGCAGTGTGGGGTTTTAGAGTACGGCTTTTGTGTGAATCTTGTCCTCACAGACTTGATCCCCAAATTCCTAGCTCATCAGATAGACTTCAATCTCATGACACCCATCCCTAAGCCTTTGGTAAACTATCCTCGAGGCTTGCTGCTTCAGTTCCTCCCACCTCTCCAGTCTTACTAACAATGAGATCTCCATGTCCTTTCTGTTCTGCTGGCCCCGTGACAACACTTCACCCCAGTGCTGGGCTCTTTCTTCCTTGACCAGGCTCCCACTCACCCTGAGAACTTAACACAGAGCCCTACCAGCCCCAGCAGCTTCTCCTTCTACAGCCAAAGTCCAGGAGCTGCCTCAGATCTGGGCACTTAGAGATAGAGCAGCTTGACTGGTGTGTGCAAGGCCTCAGGTGGGGTATGGTGCAGAGGAGTAGAGATCCCTCCCCCACTCTTAGCTCAGAGGCATTTCCGGTATGTGGTCCCCTGTGTCTGACCCTACAGAATGTTTTTCTGGCATTCCTATTAAATCCCTTGTGGGGGCTGCTGGAATGGTAGGCATCACTCCAGCACCTAGAAGTTGAGAGTGGCCATTCATCCCCTCTCTGTGCCTGGGCCAATGGAAGCATCACTTCCCCTTGGCTGGTAATCTGGGCCTGGAGAACCCAGGGAGTGCCACTGAGTGGGTTGGCTGTGATCACAGAAGCAGGAGCCTGTGTCTTGTCCTGGTGTTATGGAAATCTCGGAAAGAAATACACAGAGACACAGAATTCGGATAAAATAATAAAATTTCTTCTCGCAAGCAGATGGGAACGCCAGAAACCAGTCTGGTCAATATCGCCCCCTTTGTTCAGCATTTCCCTTTTTATATCCTTTTTAGCCATTATCTCATCCCTAGTGGTCTTTGATATGTAAATACAATTCCAGTTCCTATTTACAAGTCACAGACACAAGATAGGCACATATACATTGTAAATTCACCCTGGCATGGTAATTTTGTTAGGTTAATGAAATTACTGGTTAAAATCAGATAATCCTCACCTTAAACAAGGAGTTACAGGAAAAGCAAATCTTAAAAGAACACATTACTTATTTTGCTTCTACAACTACCTTAATATGCAATCTATTAAGTTATCTAAAACTTTTCCATATCATTCCTCCCTCTGTTTACTTCGGGATAATTCTTCTACCCATTACAAGTTCTATCCAGTTTATCTATATTTTTTAACACTAGCATTTGGTAGTCTTGAGCTGCAGCACTGCGCTACCGTATAAATTTTGAAATCCATTGGATGACACAAGGACCAAACATTAATAGTAATATTATAACAAGAAGGGGACTCAGAAGAGTTCCTATCCAAGTTTTTTTTTCATTCTGTTTTTCCGTATCACTGGCACTTGTGAAGGATTCTCTCCCTGTGTTCCTTTCTGCCACAGCTGATTGCAGATGGGTCTCAGTGCCCAGCAGAAGGACAGAAACTGAATGGCTTCTTCTGTTTGGAGGTGCTGGGTCATTGAGTTGTAGCCATGCAGGTTCCATGAGCACAGGAAATCAAAGTATCTCACAGGAGCTGAGACAGAGGCATGTTCCTCAGGGACCTAGGTCCCATGGTGAACATTAGTAATCTCCTGGGGACTTGTTAGTGCACAACGCCGCCTCCAAATTCTAATGACCTTGCTTCAGAAGGGTCGGCTATTTCGTAGGATTTTAAAAACATAAATTAAAATATTTTTCCAGTGAGATCAAGACCAGGTTCTCTCACGTGCTAGGCAAGAGCTCTAACACTGAGACATACCTCGAGGCGTGACAGCAGTTTTCAAGGGCCTCAAGAGGACCCACTGCCTTTGCTAATTTGCTCTTTGAAAACTAAATGTAGTTCCCTTAATGCAGCTCCCTTCATGTGTTCCTCACACTAAAGTGTAACTATCTGGGGCCAGGGATTTAGCTCAGTGGTGCTGCCGCCTGCCTGCCTCGCAAGTGCAAGGTCCTGAGTTTGATCCCTGGTACCAAAAAAAAAAAGTAAAACTATCTGAATGGATTTCAGCCTTATTGACAGCTTGGTTTAATGGCAGGAATTCCCCATAGCCCCATTGCTTCACAGTTTTATATCTCAACCTCCCACAGTTTGTGAAATGTACATACCTTCCGCATGTCTTATTTTTGTTTTACTTATCAAGTCATTCAACAAGCTTTCTTTGAGCAACACTGTATTCAAAGCATGGTTCTGGATACTGTAAATGCAATTGTGAGTGAGGTAGGCAAAGTTACTGCTTTATTTCATTCTGACTTTGGTCATTATTAGAATCCAACAGCATACAGGGAAGAACATGCAGAAATGGGTGTGACTGCATGGATAACTGGAGGAAGTAAAGAAAGATACCCAGTGTTCATCTGTTTGAAAATTCTGCCTTCACTCACTAGTTCTTTTTTTGTTTTGTTTTGTTTTGGTACTGGGGATTGAACTCGGGTCCTTGAGCTTGCGCAGCAGGCGGCGGTGAAACCACTGAGCTAAATCCCTGGCCCTCACCCACTAGTTCTTGGTCTGGCAGTCCCACTCTAGAAACTCTAAACAACTCTGAGGTGGGCCTAACACCTGGGAATGAGCAGAAAAGTGAATTTTTTTTGCAATCTGTATCATCAGCCCTCCATGTAACACCTCACATGGCATTTTGGTGCAGGGAACTCTCAATGGGAGATGGTTCAACCCCCATATTGAATGCTGGAGTGGGGCCTGAATGCTTCTGTGCTATGACCCCAACTGTGGAGGGCCATGAGGGTATGAGCTAAGATGTTGCTTTGTCCCTTGTGGAAAGCCTTGCTTCCCGTTTGCAACTACAAGACCCTCACTGGGGCAACACTCTGGTGGGACCTGAAGGCAGCAGAAAAAAGGAGGGCAGCTTGGTATGATCCATAATGGTAACGAGCTACTTTTCTACCTTCAGGACTCCCCTCCCTTGGAACACACAGTGCAGGTGACACTGCAGTTGGCAGCAGAATCTCATCCAGGGCAAATCTGTGCATACTGCGAAAACTCCCCCTTAGCTGCCCCACAGCTCTCTCCTGATCCTCTGCTGCTGCTAGCCTCTTTTGAGTGTCCTTTTCTGGAAGACTCATGAGCGAGCATGTTTTAAGCTCTTCAGGATGGTGAATTTTCTTTCCCCTGGTGGCCATTCAGTGCACAGACTCAGTTCCCTGCTCTCTGCCTGCCTGCTCAGGTTGATTCCAACCCAACAGACACTGTGGCGGTGGGCATTACCACCGGCTTGGTGCAGAGTGAGACCAGGTTTGACTTTGGGAACCCAGAGGCTGTCTTTCACAAGGAAAACCCTAGATTAGAGCTTGCTTCATGGGTTTCCTGAAATGAAGCTTTTGAGTAGAATCCAAAAGCACTGGGCAGGACCTACAGAGAAAGGTCTTATGTCCTCTATCCTTCCTGACTCATCCATGGGCTGTATTCTTAAAATTGGTCTAAATTTGATCCCGATCAAGTAATTCTTTAATATTTAATATTTTCACATCTGACTTTTGAGAAAGGTAAAAGTAATCAACTATTATGTAACCAGGCAAAAGGTAAAGAGTTGATCTCTAGGAAGAAATAGTATAAATATAACCTGCTGTGGAGAAGCCTGATGCAGAATTCAGCAGCAGTGCTTTAGCTGAGCCTATATAGACAATGCTCAGGCTCTAGAAGAGGACCTGGCTGTGGAAAGCTAAGGAGTTTACAAGAAAGCACTTCTGCTTGTGGCCTTGTTCTTTTCTCCATAGGGTGATGACGGCTCCGTGAGGGTGGAGATTATACAAGACTGATGAAGACATCAACTTATTGCCATAATTTTGGGTTGGAGAATTTTCTTTCATGTCACATCTAGCTATCAGAATTAACTTCTCAAGACACTCATGTGGCCTGTCATTTCAAATTCCTCTTGGGACTGGGCTTCCTTTAAAAATCGCTGGGGATGGGGTAGGGATTTAGCTCAGTGGCGCTGGTGCCTGCCTTGCAATCACAAGGTCCTGAGTTTGATCCCTGGTACCAAAAAAAAAAAAAAAATGCCCTGGAGGGGAAAAAATAAGAACCAAGATAGATTATGTAAAGGTACAAATTTCTAGTGATGAATGTCATTATATTGTTACCTAAAATTTACCAATAGAATTTTTTTTACAATCCCTGGAAGTCACATTTCAATAAAAGAACAAAGAAGATCTAAGTCTCAGTTACTGAAGAAGGATGTCAAGTAGGAGAGGGCAAAGTGGCTTGGATTTTCAGTTTGTGGCTTCTGAATCTATTACAAAGACAGGATGCATTCAGGAAACTTGAATTAATTGTTTTCCTTACCTCAGTGAGACAGAAAATGATCAAAATCATCATTACTGCTGTCACAGATATTGCCAAGATGAGCTTGTTGTTGTAGCTATGCCCTGTAACTTCTTTTGCGAACTTAAAAAAAAAAGAATCTTTTCTTAAAAGAGAAAACACCACCTGCCTTGCAAGCACAAGGTCCTGAGTTTGATCCCTGGTACAAAAAAAAGAGAGAGAGAAAAGAAGAATGAAAGCTGACTACTCAAAATCCCATTCTTCCAGGTAGATAGTTTGCAGGGTCTTAAAACATAACAAATGGAATGGGTTACACATCTTATCATGCATGTTCTTTTGTTTACCTTGTGTGTCAGTTCAGCTTTTTTTCTCTGAAGGAGCAGGGTGGGCATTGCTGTCCTGGCCAAAGTTATGTGGCCAAGACAAAATACAGAGTAGGAGCCCCTAGGGCAGACCCTCAGGTTGGGTAGTTGTCCTCACCTCCCTTGACTCCTGCTCCTTTTCTTCTCTCTGGTCTTCTGTGCTCCCATTGATAGAGTTCTCACTTTTCCAGTGGTCTGCATCCCACCGGGCCTTGGACACCTTGACTTCTTGCTGCTCCCTGAGAAGCTTCATCAGGAGGCCCGTTTTGGAGATGGGCTTGGCACAGGGCAGTTGCACATGGGCCTCATTCAGAGCAGTCCATTTTTAAACACCAGATGACTTCGGAAATCAGCCTTCTTATGTCATTGGACATAATGGCTGGAGTTACTGGTTTAGGTAAGTTTCAAACTGATCACCTGGGGATGACAGCAATGGGGAGGTGAAGTCTTTGGGGAGTGAGTCAGTGCCCACGTTGGGGTGACCCCATTGTGCCTGCCTGGTCTCATTCATAGCTGTCATTGGGCTGAATGCAGTCACAGCAGAGTCTGCAGCAGAAGGATTCTTGTGGTTTCAGTTTCTTCTTGCACATTAGTGTTCACTGCAAAGCCTCATCCTTCAAAAGTATTTGCTGTGGTATGGTTTTCTATAGGGTGCTTTCTAAGGAAGGTTCTGAATGAGCATGTAATTCTGAGACACGATTCTGCTGAAAACGCAAGTCTCTTGAAGATGAGAACTGTTGTGAAGGGGAACTGATGAGACTCCTCGCTGCCAAAACAGAGGCCTCCTCGCAAGCATTGGTCCGCTGCATGTATTTTCCTTTCTCAACTTTTCACTCAGTTTGGCCTTGGGTGTTCCGTGGGCCATAAGAGAATGCGTTTTATGAAAGCAGTGATTTGGGGGGGCGGGTAAGATTGGTTTAGTACACTTCATAGTTTTCGCTCTGGCATATGCATCTTCTAACATCAACACACTGTAGACAAAGTAATTTGCCCTGTTTCTCACCTTAGGCAGGGCTTTGGCAGGGATGGAGGAGAGAGACTTGCCCACTGAGTGATGTTTAAGGGAAGAAGAGACTGCTTGCTCCCTTCTTTATGTGGAAGCAGTTTCCTACCAACTTCTGGCCTCAGTACCTCGGATGGTGCTCCAGTCCCCTGGGATGGGTCTCTTCGGGCTTCTTTCTTTGGTGACATCCTCCAAGAGTGGCTGGGGACTCTGCTTTGCCTTGACCCCCTGTTTTCTCACTTCCTTGAAGAGACTTTTTTGAGCCCCTTTGGCCCCTTGGGACCTTCTTCAGTGTCTGAAGCCTTTTTCTTCCAAGATGAACATCTGCCAGGCTCTTTTCCTGCGGTTGGTCATTTTCCAATTTCTTTGGAAAGATTTGTCATTTAAATGAGGGATGTGAAAGGCTGGAATGCATAAGCATGGCAGTTTTTCTTTTTCACCTTGTTGTTTTCCTGATTTTCAGCCTCCAAAACATTTTCCAAAGGATGTAGCTTCTTCAGTTTAGTTTTATAAATCAAACTGTAGGATGCAGGTTGAAGACACATTCTTAGTATGGATTTCAAACTGAACTCTTCTCCACCAAACTGGCTCTCCTTATGTCCCGGTCTTTCCACCTGTCATTCTGATCTTCATCTAGTTCAGAAAGCATGAATTCAGGTTTGATGTTGTGCTTCTCTGTCCACCTTACCCCCCAATTCTTCAGTCACTCAATCATGTAGTGCTCCCAGGTTTCTCTTTCCACTGTCACCACTTCTCTGCTCAGCTGCTTCTCACTTTAGTCCCAGATTTCCTAGAGCTTTCTAGGTGGTTTGCTCCTAAGAGCAGAGAGAGGTAGGCAGGAGCTAAAAAGTCTTAAATGTGAGGAAAAAACGACTGTGAAATCATAATATTAGCTTATTTTGTTTTAGGCAAATTATAAAGTTATTTCCTGGAAGCCATTCTCCTGAAACAGTGAACCCTTACACAAGGGATGCCTGATTCCCAATTTGTTTGTTTTGATCCTGTGGATTGAAGCCAGGGTCACTACCACTGAGCTATGTTCCTAGTGCTTTTTCTTTGGTACGTTAGATGGGGTCTTGCTAAATTGCCCAGGCTGGCCTTGAACTTTTTTTTTTTTTTTTTTAGTACCAGAGATCGAACTCAGGCCCTTGTGCTTGCACAGCAGGCGAAGAAACCACTGAGCTAAATCCCCGGCCCTGGCCTTGAACTTTTGATCAACCTGCTGTAGCCTCCTAAGTAGCCTGTATTAGGGGCATGCACCATGGCACCAAGCTTCAGATATTTTATTTATTTATTTATTTATTTATTTATTTATTTAAACACAGACGGGAAACACATGATATGTATTTGAGAGATGTAATAGGGGACATGGCACTGAGCCTCCCAGTTGCCCTCCCTGAAGGACCTCCATCCCTTGTGTCCTCTATGTCCCTGAAGAGGTATCCTGTACCAGCGTGGTCCACCAGAACTGTGAGGCTGAAACTTAAGCCTGTTGTCCAGTATGGAGCTACTAAGCCCTTGAAATATGGCTAGTGTGACTTGGCTGCCTTTTAAATTTTACTTAATATGTATTCCTTTGTATTTCAATAGTCCTATGTGGCTAGGGGCCCAGTCTCATACTGGCTTTATCTTGGCTTTGGTCGTTTTATCAGTGCTGGTATATCTTGAAGATAAATTGTTTCAGACTACTTTACTTTTATTTTTTATTTTGGTACCAAGAATCTAACTCAGGGCCTTGTGCTTGCCAGGCAGGCATGGCGCCACTGAGCTACATCCCTGGCAATCCTACCTTATATTAAAAACTGCTACAAAATACTCCCTTGAAGCCAGGTTTGGTGGTGCATGCCTATAATTCCAGCATTTAGGAGGCTGAGGCAGGAGGATCACAAGGTCAAGGCCGGCCTAGATTATGTAGCAAAACCTTGTCTCAGTCATCCACCCAAGCCTCCTTAAAGCAAAATACAGTGGTACCACTTTATGAACTTAATTTGTTTTATGATTTTGGGGGAAGATGGCTGCATTTGTATTTGTATGGGGAAGATGGCCATGGTCGTGTTTGTCACCTAATGTGGAGTTTGTGAAAGGAAGCAAGATTTTGCCAAACACTTTTGTTTGCAAACCAAATTGTTTACAAACAGACACATTCTTGATCCAAGGTATTGTATTCTCTTGTAATTCATGAAAGCAATCTCTTACTCAGCCTGGAGGGTCACGGGCTGTCATTTTTTATAACCAAAATACCTCACAACAATCCTAGATTCCCCACCCTTCCACTTTTATTAGCCTAGGCCTGGGGACCAGGGGTACCATGAATCATTGCCCTAATATACACTTGCCACCCTGGGTCCTGTCCTGGTGGCCTTCTTTAGTATCAGTCACAGTTCTCTTTGATTCTCCTTTACAAATCAAGGTCTCTGGGGAAGGCAGCCATTGAGGTAGAACACCCACGACTGGCCTTGCCTTTGACTGATGAGAGTGGCTAAGTAACAGTAGTGGTTTTTTGGTTTGTGTTTGTTTTTTGAGACAGAGTCTTAGTAGGTAGTTTAGGCTGGCCTTGAACTTATGTAGCCCAGGTTGGCCTCAAACTTGCAGTGATCCCCTTGCCTCAGCCTCTTGAGTGCTAAGTTTACAGGTGTGTCACCTGTAGTTTTGATGGTGAATCTGTCTTCAAATTGTCCTTGAGCCATGTGGATCCCTGAGAGATGTGTGCTTTTATTTTATTTTTGGCACTACTGTATTCTTTACCTACCCTATTCCTCCACACCTCTGTGCTAGTTGGCCAAGTGTTGGGATTTTAAGAAGAAAAAAACAATGTGAATTTTCTACCAGCATGTAAGGATGGACAACTGCTACCAAGACGGGATACCCATTCACACTTGAGTTTCAGGGCTTGGGGAGAAAGACAGGACTTGACCCCTGAGTGCAGTAGGCTCAGTGATCCAACTATTCTGGTGATCCCAACCCCCTGGGAGAGGGGTCCAGAAGGTAGGCAGGTAGACGATACCCTGTGGGCAGGAGGCCAAGTATGCAGGGAATGATTGGCTCATTCTTTTTTGTGGTAGTGAGGATTGAACCACAGACCTTCACATTAAGCCACATCCTCAGCCTTATTTTATTTTTTCTTATGAGACAGGGTCTCACTGAGTTACTAAGTTACCCAGGCTGGGGTCAAACTTGTGATCCTCCCAGAGTGCTAGGGCTACAGGGATGTGCCACCCTACACCACTGCACAACTGGTTCTTGAAAGAGCAGAGGAAAGTGGACCCAGAACCGTGGCCATTTGACTGCGAATCTCAGTCACAAGGATCTGAGCTTCAGTCCCTATACTTTTTGCCCTTGTTCTTGCTATATGCACACATATATTTAATTATTTGCATTTTAATTTCTCACCATACAGTTAAAAGTGGTTATGAATTTTATGTATTTTAATATTAGTAAAAAAGTATTTTACAACCACTGCTAGAGCAAGACAGCTTCAGGGAATGACGACCTCTTCCAGTGCCTCACTGTCCTCATCCTCAATGGCCGACTCTGTTAGCGCCACTTCTGTGATGACTTTGCAGAGCTGCTGGGAGAACAATGCCAAGGCAATGAAGTTTTCCCTACCCCTTCACTTTAGACAGGAATTTTTTTTTTTTTAGGTACCGGGGATCGAACTCAGGTTCTTGGGCTTGCGCAGCAGGCAGCGAAACCACTGAGCTAAATCCCCGGCCCCTTAGACAGGAATTTTAAGTCATCCCTGGCCACTTACCCTGCATCCTTCATCATCAAAAGAGTCCTTGCCATGGAGCAGAGATGCAATCCTTTTCACCTGTGAGGCACTGATAGGTCTGTACAGATCCCTCAGCCAAAGTGGCAAACCAAACCCAGGGACGCCATCCTGGAGAGCAGATGGGGACTTAGGACTTCTGCTTTCCCCTGCCTCTTCCACGCCAGCACCCAGTCCTCAAATTTACCTTGTTTTCATGTTCCATGTTGTATCTCCCATGCCAATGTTGGGAGAAGCCCCTTGTGGGAAAACACACATGCAAGACAATTAGTGATTGCTGTTATTTTTCATGTCTCAAATTGCACGCCTTAGGTCTCATTAGGATAAAACCTGTACCTTGGTCCATAATCACAGTGAGCAAGGTCACCCCAGAACTGGGGTCCTGAAAACAACTCTACAATGCTGGGCTTTCAGAGGCTCCATCTGTTACCAGGGGCCTCAGGAAGTCTCTGGAGAGACCCCTGCACCTGGCACAGCTGGAACACAAGCGGGATTATCATCCCCAATTATACCATAGGTCAGGTACCTCGTGCAGTGAACAAACTGCATGACCATACTGAGTGGAAGCGTTTCACTCTCTCCAGAGCCTTTCACATCAGTCTCCTGCACACTTAGTCCCACAGGCAGCCCTCAATGGGGAAGAACTAGAAGGTGCTTCTATTTTCCTAGCTGTCTTATCCAAAAGTTGGCACATCAAGCAAATACCCAAGTCCAGTTAGTAAAGTGGTACAGTTCAGAGATTTTCATAGCAAGGGCTGTCACTGATGAGTTGTGAAATCAGTTTAAAGGACATGATTAACCCTAAAACACAAGATGTCCTTTTTGAGTACACCATGTGTGGTGTACACACTTGTAATCCCAGCATTCTGGGAGGCTGAGGCAGGAGCGTGGCAAGTTCAAGAGCAGCCTGGGCAAGATCCTGTCTCAAAAAAAAAACAAGAAAAAAGCTGGGGATGTAGCTTAGTGCAAAGGCACTGGGTTCAATCTCCAGTATGAGAGAGGGAGGGTGAGGGAGAGTGTGAATGAATTTGAGGTCTGAGTAAATGGAACAGAGGATGACAAGGGAACAGGAAGTGTGCAAAGGTGCACTTCCGCCCCCTCTGAGGAAGGATGCCTACTCCACCCTCCAGCCCCAGCCTAGCTCCTGGGCCTCCACGAAGGCCTCTGGCTGTGCCTGCGCTCTCCACAGCAGTAGGCGTGCCAAACCTATCGCCTCCACCCTCGGCACTGGATGTCTGGTGACATCAGGTGCCTCCCCGCTCCTCAGGCCCATCTCAGCTTTGCTGGAGCCAAGTGAAACCCCAGAGAAAGGAAGGGGTCTTCTCCCACAGGTGGGCTCCACACTGTGACATCAGGGATTGAAATAGATGAGTTCTAAGTTCATCTCGTGTTCTAGTTCTGATGTATTTACTGAATGATTGGCAGACTCGTATTTACCTTGGGTATCCTTCTTCAGTTTCCTCTGAAGCTCTTCTGTGGGAATAAATCTGTTTTGGAAGAAGACACAGTCATGAGCATCCACCGACATCTCTTAATTTTTAGTCCTTTAATTTATCTTAAGTCTTAGTTACTCAGTGTGATGATAACCTTTCTGGAGACAGGAATTCTACCCTGTTAATCATAGGTCATTGACTTTTCCAAGGCACCTTGCTTGGAGTCTTGCATGCAGCTGGAAATTTTTAAAATCTAGTACTGGGTGAAACCATGGCCCTTGCACTGAGACAGATAGATATAGATATAGATATAGATATAGATATGAATACATGGAGATGGAGATATAGGTATTGATATGGATATTTTTTGAGAAAAGGTCTCGCTAAGTCACTAAATTGCCCAGGCTGTGCTTGAATTTGCAATCCTCCTGCCTCAGCCTCCCAGAGTGCTAGGATTTGGGGCATATGTCACCACTCCCAGCCATTCAGATTGGTGCTTTGGTTCACAAACTTAATTTCTTTCACCATTCTGGCCCCAGAATTTGTTCCACGATTCTGGTTGCAACCAAACTATAAGCATCTGACCCTATGTTGGTCCTGCTTTTGGTACTCAGAAAATAGTCTTTGCGCTCACCAAGAGAGTACACACTCCTTCCTTTTGAAGCAGTCTTACCTATCATTATCACAGGACTGACCCCAAAGCAGATTGGCAGATAATGACCTGATGAGAAAGACTTCTGTCCCAGGGACAGCACTTGTCTGCACCATCAGGGAATTGTGTCACTGTAGGGAGAGGCCTGGGAGGCACAGCCAAGCACAATAGGAGGCCTTGATGAGAGCAGAATTAGAACTAAGAAATCAGCTGAATCCAGCATGTAATAGAAAGGGCTGAGGAGGGCAGGTCCATGCCCCCCCCCAAACACACAGGGGTAGCCTCACCAGCAGAAATGACTCCACATCTGCTGGCCCAGGTTTCGTATCCATTCTTACCCAATGCTAGAATAGGTATGGCCCATGCTCGCTCCTTCTTCACCTTTTTGTGCTTCTACTACTGACCAGCCCTTCTTTGAACAGACATATTTTTCTGTCGAGTTCCACTAGAATCTGATACACCAGGAATCCAGCTGGTCCTTACACATCTCCACTCTGCTCTGTTGGGTATTTTTTTTTGGTTTTAGTGTTTGTCTTCCTTGTTTGAGACAGGGTCTCCCAATGTAGTCCAGGCTGACCTTGAACTCAGTGTGTGGTCCAGGCTGGCTTTGACCTCATGGTGATCCTCCTGCTTCAGCCTCCCAAATGCTGGGATTGCAGGTTGCAGCACCACACCCAGCTTTATTACATGTTGATCTTGGTGTTTCCTTCTTGGATACCTGTCCTTTAAAAAACTCACAGCTACATTTTTAGTTCTTGGAATAGGGGGCAGTACCTCACTGTGGCTTTAAGAAATGGACAGAAATCTCTTAAGAGGGGACTGGGCTCATGAGAGCCAGGGGATTCAGGGAAGGCTTCATGAAGAAAGACAAGCTTCAGTTGGCTTTTGGCACATTCATGGCACTTCCACAGGCAAGGTGAAGTGGGGATTTTAGAGGCACAGACAAAAACAGGAATGGGCATTGTATGACTAGAGCATGGAGAGGGACTGCTTTGGCTGGGACTGAAGGCTGCCTGACTGTGGAAAAAATAAATTACCAGGTGATTGAACTAGAAGGGGAGTCAACGTTTGTCAACTTAGGAAATTACCCTTTAACTGTCTAGCAGATGAAAAGTAAAAGTAACAAACCATTACATAATCAGGCAAAAGGTAAACTGAGGCAAGCTCCAGGAACAGGTTAGTGTAAATAGGACCTGCTGTGGGAAGCCTGGCAAAAGACTCAGCAGCAGTGCTTCAACTGAACCTATTAGTGCCTCATGCACTAGAGGAGGTGGCGGCTGCAGAAAGCTAAGGAATCTACAAGACAGACTTATGTCTTGTGGCCTTGTCCTTTCTCCCCAGGGTGATGACAGCTCCTTGAGCATAGACTATGAGATAAACGAGGATGTCAAATTGTTGATATAGTAGTTTTGGGTTGGGGAAATTTTCTTTCATGCCAATTCTGGCCATCAGAATTCACTTCTCTGGATAGTCAAATGGCCTGTTATCTTGGTTTCAATTCCTCAGAGATCTCTTCAGAGTGGGGTTCCTTTAAAACTCCCTGGAAAACACTGGGCATGGTGATGAACACCTGTTATCCCAGCACTTGGGAGGCTGAAGCAAGAGGATCGATGTGAGTTTGAGCCCAGCCTGGCTACATAATGAACTCAAGGCCAGCCTGAACTACATAGCAAGACCCTGTCTCAAAAAAATAAATCCCTGGAAAAAAAATAAATCCGTGGAAATATTTCAATAAAAGAACAAAAAATACCTCAATCTCAGTTACTGAAGAAGGATGTCAAATAGGAGAGGGCAAAGTGGCTTGGATTTTTAATTCATGGGTCCTGAATCTATTATAAAAACAGGATGCATTCAGGAAACCTGAATCAATTTTTATCCTTACCTTAATGACACAGAAAATAAGCATCAAAATGATCACTACTCCCATCACGGATAATGGCAAGATCAGTTTATAATAGTCAAATCCTGGAACTTTTGTGAGCTAAAAAAAAAAGAAAAAAAAATAACAATAATAATTTTTGTTAAGTAACAAAGAGGAAGGAAGGATGAAGGCTGACTATTCAAATCCAATTCTTCTGGGTAAGTAGCTTACAGGGTCTTAAAAACATACCATGATGGGACATGTTACAAATCTTATTACTATGCATGCCCTTCTCTAATTTGTTTACCTTGTGTGTCAGGTCAGCTTTGTTTTCTCAGGGAGCAGGGTGGGCATCGCTGTCCCGGCCAGTTATGTGGCCAAGACAAAATACAGAGTAGGAGCCCCTAGGGCAGACCCTCAGGTTGGGTAGTTGTCCTCACCTCCCTTGACTCCTGCTCCTTTTCTTCTCTCTGGTCTTCTGTGCTCCCATTGATAGAGTTCTCACTTTTCCAGTGGTCTGCATCCCACTGGGCCTTGGACATACTGACTTCTTGCTGCTCCCTGAGAAGCTTCATCAGGAGGCCCGTTTTGGAGATGAGCTTGGCACAGGCCAGTTGTTGCACATGGACTTTAGAGCAGTCCATTTTTAAACGCCAGATGAGTTCGGAAATCAGCCTTCTTATGTCATTGTTGGAGATGAATGGCTGGAGTTGCTGGTTTAGATAAGTTTCAAACTGATCACCTGGGGATGACAGCAATGGGGAGGTGAAGTCTTTGGGGGGTGAGTCAGTGCCCGCGTATGGGTGCCCCCATTGTGCCTGCCTGGTCTTGTCCACAGCTGGCATTGGGCTGAATCTAGTCACAGCAGAGTCTGCAGCAGAAGGATTCTTCTGAGTTGTCTTTTCAGAGATAGTTTCTTCTGGCACACTGTTTAGTGCAAAATCATCTCCTTGATAATTATCTCCTATAGCATGGTTTTCTACAGGAGTGTGTTCCCCTGAAAGTTCTAAAGGTGCATATAATTCTGAGACAAGACTCTCCTGAAAATTCAGGTCTCCTGAAGATAAAAACCGTCCTGAATGGGAACTGTCAAAGCTCCTCACTGCTGAAATCTGAGGCCTCTGTACAAGCATTAGTTTATTGTGCGTGTTTTCCTCTCTCAACTTTTCACTCAGTTTGGTCTTGGGTGTTCTGTGGGCCATGAGAGAGTGAATTTTGTGAAAGTGGTGGACTTTTCCAGAATGTAAGATTGGTTTAGTGCCCTCCATGCTTTGAACTCTAGTGCTTGCATTTTCTAGAACCAAAATGCTGTGGATGAAGTCATTTCTTCTGTTTCTCCTAATGACCTTCTTCAGTCTTTGAAGCCTTTTCCTTCCATACCGAACCTCTGCCAGGTTGTTTTCCTGGGCTTGAGCACTTTCCAACTTCTTTGGAAAGATTTGGCGTCTGAATTTGGGACCAAAAAGGCTAGACTGCATAAGCATGGCAGTTTTCTCTTTCTTTTTCACCTCATCAATTTTTTCATGAATTTCTGCATCTAACAAATTTTGCATAAAATACAGCTTCTTCAGTTTATTTGTGAAAGTCGAGCTGTTGGATACAGGTTGAAAAGAAGAGTTTCCTGTATTGTTTTTCAAATAACCTAGGGTATTATTTCCGTGTTGTACTTTTGAAAAAAGCAGCTGAATGAATGGTAATAATGTTGACTCTACATCGTCTAGATTTCCCTGTGAGAAGTATGGCAATATGTAACTTAGTGCACTAATAATATCACTTTCATCGTTAATGTCTAGCTGCTCTTTCATAAAGCCCAATGAGTCGATACCAGTTTTTTCTGAAGATGTCTTTTCAGGCTCAATAGTGAGCTTGGTGCTGGTGCTCTTCTTCCAGGCTTGTAACGCCTTCATGAAGGTGCCTTCGGGGTTCTCTGTAGGTGCTTGTCCCACTGTCAGAAAAGAAAAGACTGCTCTCAATCAGGGGAGACTGACAGACAGCCAGCTTTTTGTCACCCCACACTATACATGCCAGTCCAATAAGTTAGAGGTCAGTAAATATTTGAGTGCCAAATGGAAGGGACAAAAGGAAGCCCAAACTTAAACCTATGAAAACCACAACAGAAAAAAGAAAAAGACCTCTCTTGCTAAAGTGACTCCCTACTCGGTACATGCCATAGTGGGAAAAACAGCAACTTAACTTAGGACAGTCAGTTGATTGGTACTCAATCAAAGGCCAAATACTGACAAATATTGGCCCACTCTGCAAGCCCCTCTGTGGACCTTCCATGCCCGCTCAGGATCGTGTATGCAGCATTCTCTGCAGCCACAAAGGAAGGACAAGGCTTCCTCGCTCCACCTCTTCAGTGTGCCACGTTCTTGCTACTGTCACAGATGACCACGATGAAGGACAGTCCTCCGAGGACAGGGAGGCAGACATGCGAAAGCAGAGTCCCCACTCCTTCTGCTAACAGGTCCTCATCTGGATAGGTCCTCTCCACCTATTTATTCACCAGCCAGTGCCTTCACTTGGTCCCTGCTCCCATATATCTGAGCCCAGTCATGGCGAACTTTTAGGGCCCGGGTGCCAAACTGCAATCCCAAACCCACTTACTTGCAAAGTGCCAACACTGCAATGAAACTCGTGTACTGAGGTTTTAGTTTAGAACAAACAAGTCTGAATTAAAATCTTTTGTCGTAAAAGAAAAACATGATAACACATGTGCCAAAGGTTCACCACCACTGTCCTAGCCCCATAACAAAAGGCTCTACACAGAGCCAAACGCTATTCCGCCCTGGTTCTTTCTTTAGATTTGGGCAGGGATCTGAGGTGTAGGTCAAGAGGTTTTTACTTTGCCTGATTGTATGCCTATGTGGAATGATGTGCAATAAATCGACAGAATAACAGCAATTTTGGGATCAACATTACTTGAGGTCCTGATGTACAAGGGAAGAAGCTGTTTCTATCAGATGCCTGCCCTACTTTCATTTCTAATATTTCTAACCATCCAAAGCTTCTGATGGTATGAAAGTCTCGTGCCCAGTGTGACTGTGGTGGTGGTGATGAGGGCCAGAGGAGGAGGTAAGGATCATGAGGAAAAAGGAGCATGGGCTTGTGGAGAGCCCAGAATTGGGGACAGAGACCCAGGCATGAGGCGCTAGCACTTGACACCTCTCATCTTGTTGTCCTCATCTCCAAAAGGAGGCCAGAAATTCTTGTTTTCCTCATCTCTGAGGGAGGAATGAATGATGTCACTGGTGAAAATTTGTTAGGAAATCCAAGCAACATTGCTTTTGCATAAGGAGCAGAGTGCTATTACTTATTATTAGCACAGATCACTGATAGAGACCTGAATTCAAGCTGTCTGGATGTGAAAGCAGTCACATTTTGCAAGCAAGAACTGAGAACTAATAAACCTGATGTGTAGAAAAACACTTAAATGCGCCTGAGTCAGCTGACATTCAGAAGAAGCTCAGGGTTGGACAGTCTAGGCATGGAAGAACCTGTATTCCTTTAGAAGAGACAGGCAGCAGTTTCTGGTTACACAGTCAGAAACCCCTAGGTTCCAAATAAAACAACATTACTTACGGTCTTATATATTTGCAGAAACAAGACAAAACTGATCTACACCTGCCCTGAGGTTGAAGAAACTTGAGACCTAATGTATATAAAACCAGCTTACAAACTGCATTGCACTTTATGAATTAAGTTATCACTGGAAGGCCAAGCACCAAGCCGAGAGCACAGTCCATGGTGCACGGCTATGAACAGTGTTCCCTCCCCTTCCATCCCTTCCTCTGGGTCCTTATGCCTATGGGACAGTTATGTTATTGATTTATGCACTACTAACTGAGAACCTGACTCTCAGCAGGGGGACACTTCAGAAATTTAGGGAGTTTAACTCTGATGAATGAATAAAAGTAATACCGTTAGTTTAAAATTTTATCAGCAGTTAAAAATTAAAAGCAAATAAAATAACAAAAACATTTATCACTAGGCAGTTGAGACTCACAACACTGCATGGCATTGATCAAACATATGCTGTCACAATGCAGCTTGACTGTCTTGCAGACAACCTCAATATCCTTTTTAAACTGGCAGAGGCAGCAGACCATATGGCTCGGTAAGATCCTGTAGACAGAAACACGGAGAGCTGAGTTCATGGAAAGAGGTTCTTTGAATGGTAAAAGAGGCAGGACAAGGTTCTCACAGGGTTGTGTAGAAAGGAGTTCATGGCAAGGTCTGAGCAGCTGGATAGGAACCCAAAAGCAATTGCTGCTTTTGAATACTGTTAATAAATAGGAGGGAGGAGAGAGGCACCCCACAGAAGGGTAACCACAGCAGTTTACGTGGTATGCCTAAAATAAAGGCAACAGAGATTTGCTCTGAGTGACAATAATGTGTAGTTTCATTCAAAAGCATCTCCCTTCTACTCCAAAGTCTTTCTCTGGGCTGGGAGTGCACAGGAAGAAGGCCGACTTCTAAGAAGAGTCTGAATCAGCCTCCAATATCTGGAGACCCTTCCCCAATTCCTGTTAGGAGTGGTAAATGTTACACATTATTCTGGGCACAAAAAACCCCCACCCATATTGTATGGTTCATAACCACACAGACCACACTGGCCAAATCTACACAACTGGAGCATTCAAAGGGATGAGGACTGCATGGGGCTGGGGAGCTCAGCGGGAGAGAGCTTGCCTAGCATGCTCAAGGCAGGGTTTGATCCCTAGTATCACAAAATACAGAAAGGAAAGGAGGGAGCAGGAGGGAAGAGTGACCATCTAATGTGAAGAAGAGTCTATGAATTCATAACAACTCTCTGGAAGGGACAGCATGCAACTGACATGTGAGGGAAGGGAGCAGATGCTGCAGGAAGTTGAGGAAGATGAGCCTGAAGCAGAAACCAAGGGCTCTACAGTGTGGGGAAGTTACTCGAGGAGGTGACCTGATGAAAACAAGTGGAGCAGAGTGCTACTTTACCATACCAGCAACTTTCTTCTATTTAGTTTGCCATATTGGAGGAGGGTGGCAAAATTTAAGTTGCAGTCAATGGTATAAAAACCACTGCAGCTGGCCATGGTGGCTCATGTCTGTAATCTCACCACTTGGGAAGCTGAGGCAGGAGGATTGCTGTGAGTTCAAGGGCAGCCTGGGCTATATAGTGAGTTCAAAGCCAGCCTGAACTACACAGCGAGACCCTGTCTCAAAACAAAAAACAAAACCATCACAGCAGGGCATTACAGAAAAAATTTTAAAACTCTACAATACAAAAATGAAATACCTCACACTATGTGTGAAAATTAACTCAGAATAGATTATAGCCCTAACTAATCCCAACACTCAGAAGCAGAGGCAGAAGGATCATAAGTTTGAGCCTAGCCTGGGCAAACCAGCAACTTAGTGAGACCCTGTCTCAAAACTAAACAATAAAAAAAGTGCTGGGGTTGGAACTCACTGTGAAGGGCCAGAGTTTAATCTCCAGTACCACCAAAAATTGAAAATTAAAATAAATCAGGGTCAGGGATTTAGTTCAGTGGTGTTACTGCCTGCCTCACAACATCCCGAGTTCAATCCCCAGCATCAAGAAAAAAACAAAAAAAACCATGGACCTGAATGTAACCATACAGTTATATAGTACAATCCTGGAAGAAATCAAATGAGAAAATCTTGCAACTGTGAATTAAACAATGAGTTATTAAGAAAGAGATTCCTGGGGCTGGGGATTCAGCTCAGTGGTGCGGCACCTGCCTTGCAAGCGCAAGGTCCTGAGTTTTATCCCCGCTACCAGAAAAAAAAAAAGAGATTCCTGGGCTGGGAATTTAGCTCAGTGGTGCTGTGACTGCATGGCAAGCACAAGGTCCTGAGTTTGATCCCCGGTATAGAGATTTCTTAGGTAAGATATCAGAAAACACAAATCATAAGAAAAATTTGCTAAATTGCATTTTATCAAAATTTAAAAATTTTAAAACTTCTATTTTTCTATTCTTCTACTCCAGCACTCTGGGAAACTGAGGTAGGAGGTTCACAAATTCAAGCCCAGTCTGGGAAACTTAACTACTTGGTGAGATCTTGTTTCAAAATAAAATGAGAGAGAGAGAGAGAGAGAGATCCTTAGCTCAGTATGAAACCCCTAGTACTTAAAAAAAAAAAAAAAGATATCTGCATATATAAAAATACTCAACATTGTTAGCTAGTAAAGAAACGCACATTTAAACTACAGTGCATACATCTACATACCTACTGGTAAAAAGGCGGAGGTTCTTATAGACTGAAATATAAGGTCAAGTAAAGAAGACACAGTAACTCTTTCCTTTGTTTTTAATTGTGGTACTGGGGATTAAACCCAGGGTATTCACACTGAGCTACATCCCCAGCCCCCTTTCTTGTCCTGCCTTTCAAATTTATTTTTTTGTAATTTTGAGACAGGGTCACACTATTTCAGAAAGCTGCCCAGGCTGAGTTCGAACTTGCCATCCTCCTGCCTCAGTCTCCCAGGGTGCTAGCATTGCAGGCATGTGCCACCATGCCCAGCTGCAATTGTAACTCCTATTCACTGCGGATGGGCTATACTACTGATTACACTTTGTGAATAAAAGCCAAACACAAAAGGCTATGCACTACACGATCTCATTTATAAGACCTTTGGGAAAATGTGAAACTATAGGGTCAGAGATAAGATCAGCAGATTCCAGGAGCTGGTGGTGGAAAGAGTGAACTGACTGCAAAGGAGATGAGCTGCCTTTTGAAGGTGACCCAAATGTTTTACAGCAGAAATGTGGTGGCAGTTAGGTAACTATACAAACTCCTCAAACTGTACACTTCAAGCTTATGAATTTTATTACATGGAAACCATACATCAATAAACCTGACAAGAAAATAATTAAACAAACCTAAGTCAAAATAAATCTAAGAAAAATCTAACTTACAGTGTTTCCAATTCCAGAGCCATTGTGAGGATGTTCTCAAGTGCTGTAAATGACACATGTGTTTGTCCTAAGTCTCTGAAGAAGAAAGCCCAGGCAGAAATGAGGAACCCCAGCACAAATATTCTGTACTTAAAACAGGCATTTCAAGAACAGGTCATTATTCCAATTTTGCCCTCCAATAAAATGAGCCAACACATGAGTTTATCATAAAATATAATCCCAAGAGCTCTTCATGAAGAAATTCAAATTTAATATTTTCATCACCAAATTAATGACGTTGGCATTGCATAGTAGAGGCTATATCTTTTTTTCATCGTCATCTTCTCATTTTTATATTACATTCACCTCTCTCTCTCTCTTTCTCTCTTTCTCTCATTTTTAACAACAATGATGTTCCTACATCCATTTGTATGTTCCATATCTACTGTGTTCCTCAATACTGCTCTCTACCCCTGCTAACTCTCTTGCCCACCTTACATCTTAATCTTTTTCTGGCCAATAACCTGATTCAAATTAAAATTATGACTTTTAGAATCAAAGTATAATACTTAACCATTGATGGAAGGAAGCAAAAACAGTAGAAGTCATATTATGATATACAGAATTAATTGTAAACTTACAGATATTTTAATTCTGGTAATTTAAAAAGAGATGAATCTTCAATAGTTGTCAGAGGATTATGATTGAGAATTCTGAAAAATGCAATGGAATTAAAATTATCTGTATTTTTAATATGTATGAGATTACATAAAAAGTTTATATTCTTTTGTTGGTATAGAACTTATTTGTAGGTTAAAATCATTTTCTGTGATTACCTATGAATAAAACTTAGAATTCATAAAGCACTCTTCTTTGGGGGATTACGTAGGTCTGTAAAAGATAAAGGGAAAAGTGCAAGAGAGAGAAAATGTAAAAAAAAATGCAAGTAGAAAAAAAAAAAATAGGTGAAAGAACAAAAGCCCTCCAAGTGACTACACTGACAGGAAACCTTCACCCTGAGGGAAATTCTGTATTTAGTACCTTTCATAATTCAAAGTGCTTGACTTTCATCTTTATAAATTTCAAACATTCATGATCTAATTCATTTATTTAAGAAAATAATGAGCTAGGTTTTGTGGTACATGTCTGTAATCCCAGAAGTGGGGAGGCTGAGGCAGGAGGATTGCCTTTATTTCAGGCAAGTCTGGGATCCACAGTGAGTTCAAGACCAGCCTGAACAACATAGCAAAACCCTGTCTCAAAAAAAAGTAAAGAAAAAATGGGACCAGTTCCTTGGTTTTGAGCCAAAGAAAAAGAAAATCTAACAGGTGGGTCTTACTAACTTTCCTGGTGGCTGAGAAACAATACCTGACACACTTGTAAATTAAAGGTGGAAGAGTTTATTTTGGCTCACATTTCAGTCCATAACTATCCAGCGCCAAGGCACAAAGGCACCGTGAGAGGGCCTGGGTGGAGGAGAGATGCTCATGGCCTGGCAATCAGGAAGCAGTGAGGGTGGAGAGAGGAGTGAGGAAGGAAGATAAGCCCTTACCTCAGCTGTAATGCCCCATTATCCACTCACCTCCCCAAAGCCCCACCTATGACTGAAGGAGGCTTTTGGGGGAAAGAAACTATAACAAGGAGGAAGTACTTAAAACCATTTCCCATTTCATCTGGACTCTTGTATCATGTCTATGCCTGGTTAGTGTCTGAAGTTTTCTGTTTTTAATAAATGCTTGTTGAATAAATGAATATTCTTTCATATCAACAAAATGAATAAATCTCCCCCCCCCCATTAGGCATAATCTTGCCTGGATTAGCCTCAAACATCTAAGGTCAAGTGATCATCCTATCACAGCCTCTTGTATGGCTGAGACTACAGCACATGGATTGAACCCATGGGCTTTGCACTGAGCTACATCCCCAGCCGTTTTTATTTTTAATTTTGAAACAAAGTCTCCTAAATTGCTAAGTTGCCCAGGCTGGGCTTGAACTTGTGATCTTCCTGCCTCAGCCTGGCAGGCTGCTAAGATTAAAGGCACATGCCACTATGCCCAGATATATTCATTTTGATGCAAATTTTTACTCCAAAATACTGGAATATCTTTTCTATTCAATTGTTTACAGCAAGCAAACAAGAACAACAAAAGAAAAAAAAGGAGCAGGAAGAAAAGAAAAACCTATCCTTAGGTTAACTCTACTTGAATTGTTAGTGTACTTCTACAGAATATTTTAATAGTAACTACTACAGCTTGTATCTATTGGCTGCCAGGCATCTATGCTCAGCATTTCACACTGAACCCCCATAATAACCTTAAGTGGTAGATATTATCATTATCCCAATTTATAAATGAGGAAACTAGGTACAGAGAGGTTATATAACTTGTTCTGAGTTGCCAAGCTAGTAAGATGCCAAGCTGGAATCTGAACACAGTTCTGCTGCCAAAGTTTAAGTTTAATCTGTGTGAAAAGGGGTTTTAAAAAGCTGTTACTTTAACCTTAATTTTGAGAGGACTAGATATAAAAACACTCTTTTAAACATTTGTTGTTGTTGGGTTTGGGTTTTTTTTGGTACTGGGAATTAAACACAGGACCTTGTGCTTGCCAGGCAGGCATGGCACCACTGAGATACATCCCTGCCCCAACATTTGCTGCTTTGAGAAAGCCTCTATGAGAATTCCAGTTTGCCTTATAATTCCTTTCCCCTAATCTCTTCCTATGGTTAAATACTTAATTAGCTCACATTCATAGAGGCTTTAGATATTTAAAATCAAGTTGTAGGTGACATCAGTGAAAATGGTGGAGTAAGGACATCTGAAAATTCATCCCTCCATAGAAGTGACAACAAAAATGGTCCAAATCAACATTTTCAGAACTTTAGCAATTTAACCAAAGACATGCAGCAACCCACGAAGGATTTACTTAAGGAAAAACAGCTGAATTTTTGTAATAACAGTGACATCAGTGATGTTTTAACTGGGTCCAGACCTAGACCATTCCTCACTGCAGGCCCATGGCTGCCATGAAGAAGAGCCTCATCCCCAGGATGAGAGGAAGCAGAATGGAGCCGGAGCCCTTTGTTCCTAGAAAATTGGTCATTCCTTGGAAGATCGCACTTGAAAGGCTTATTTTTACTGACCAGACTCAGAGCTGCCTTGTGCTAAATCCTGTATTCCCAGCACTCGGGAGGCTGAGGCAGGTGAATTGCCATGAGTTCAAGGCCAGCCTGGGCTACATAGTGAGTTCAAGGCCAACCTGAATTACAGTGAGACCCTGTCTCAGGCTAAAAAGCAAAAAAAAAAAAAAAAAAAAATAACCCACAAAATGTTCAGTCCATTAAGAACATAAAAACAATTGTACTAAATATATATAAATGCATATGCATCTAACAATAGAATCCTAAAATATATGAAACAAAATCTAATTGGAGAAATAAACAAGGCAACAATAGTAGCTGGATACTTCAACATGCCATTTTCTGTAACAGGACAACCAGACAGAAGACCAGCAAGTAAACAGAAAACTTGAGTAATTATAAGCCAACCAAACCTAACATTCATATATACAACACTTCCCAACAATAGCAATGTAAGAAGAGAAAAAACACATTCTTCTCCAGGGCACATAGAACATTCCCCAAGACAGACTATAGGATAAGTCTCAATAAATTTTTTTTGTTTCTTTTGAGCCAGGATCTATGTAGTCCAGGTTAGTTTAAAACTTGCTATGTGCTGCAGGGTGGCCTTGAACTCTTAATCCTCATGCCTCAGCCTCCCACGCTGGGATTACAGGCCTGTGTCATCACACCTAGCGACAAGTCTCAGTAAGTTTAAATTTCTTTTTTTTTTTTTTTCTGGACTGGCGATCAAACTCAGGACCTTGCGCTGGTAGGCAAGCATGGCGCCACTGAGCTACATCCCTGGCCCAAGTTTCAGTAAGTTTAAAGGGACTAATATCATACAAAGTATGTTCTCCAAACAAAGTAGAATGAAATCACAATAAGATAACTAAGTTTGGTAAAATCTTAAATATATAGAAATTAAGCACATATAAGCAACCAATGGGTCAAGAAGAAATCACAAGGGAAATGAGGACATGATTTGACACCAATGAAAATGAAGACACAACAGCACCAACCATTAGGGACCTAGCTAGAGCGGTGTGCAGAGGGAAAGGTATACATGCAAATGCAAATATTAAAAATTCTCATGAATTATATAAACTCTTGAATAAACTAGGAAAAAATTCAGCAACTTAAACCCAAGTCAAGAAGACAGAAGGAAATAATAAAGAGTAAAACAGAAAAAGTGAAATAGATAGAAAACAATAGAGAAAATCAATATAAGGAAAAATTGTTTTTTGAAAAAGATAGACAAAACTGACAAACTAGATTGATCAAGATGAAACAGAAGGTTCATATTATTAAAATCAGCAAATGGTGGTGCATGCCTGTAATTGCAGCACTCAAGAGGCTGAGGCAGGAGGATAGCTGTAAGTTCAAGGCCAGCATAAACTACATAGTGAGACCTTGTCTCAGGAAAAAAATTCAGGAACAAAAGAGGGGACATTATTACTGACCTACAGATATGAAATAGACTATAAGGGAAAACTCTGAATAATTGTCTACTAATAAATTAGATAACCCCAATGAAATAGATACATTCCTAGAAGCGACTTAAGCAGAAACAAAATCTGAACAGATCTATTTAAATAAAAAGGTTGAGTTATTGATCAAAAAACTTCTTAGGACCTTTGGTTTTCTCTTTTATAGGATGAAGAGAATTTCAGGATCAGATGACTTCACTGGTAAAATCTACCAACTAATTACAGAAAAATTAACACCAATCCTTCAAAAAATCTTTCAAAATATAAAAGAGGATAGACTATTTCCTAATTCATTCTAGGAGTCAGTATTGCCCCATAACAAAAGCAGATGAAGAAATCAAGAAAATTATGAACCAGTATGTCTTGTGACAATAGATGTACAAATCCTCAACAAATAGTAACAAACCACATTAAAGAGAGTATACAGATAACATTATACACCACAACCAAGTGGGATTTGTCCAGGAATGCAAGGTTGGCTCAACATAAAAATCAACCAATCTAAGACACCATCTTAATAGAATTAACATGGTCATCTAAGTTAATGCAGTGGAAGCATTTACAAATTAACACCTTTTCATTATAAAAACATCTACAAACTAAGAATAGAAAAAAAATGACCTCAACCATGTAGAAAGCATCTACAAAAAGCAAAACAAACAAAAAACAAATAAAAAGCCATGGCTAACATTACTTATAGTGAATACCCCTAAGATCAAGAACAAAGCAAGGATCTCTTCCCATGTCTATTAAACTTTGTATGGAGGTTTTAGCCAAGGCCAGTGAGGGAAAACAAAAAGGCATCCATGTTGGAAAGACAAATAAAACTATATACATTTGCCGATAACATGATCTTACATGTAGAAAACTACAGAGAAGCCAGGCATAGTGGTGCATGCCTGTAATCCCAGCACTGTGGGAGGCGGGAGGATTTCTGCCAAAAAACTAATGAGATCCTGTCTCAAAATAAAAAATAAAACAAGGGCCAGGGATGCAGCTAGGTATCCAGTACAAGAATGAAAGGATACAGGCTGGGGATTTACCTCAGTGGCACTGCACTTGCCTCATAAGCACAAGGTTCTGAGTTCAATCCCTGCTACTGGAAAAAAAAAAGAATCAAAGAATAAGCTGGGCATGGTGGTGGTGCACGCCTGTAATCGGCTGTTACCTGAGTAATTATTTCTGATTTTATTTTTCCCAGATCCTCTTTTGTTGCCAGTTTAGAGAGTGCAGGTAGTTGAGTATCAGATTCTTCCATCTCATTTCCTTTGGGGTTGCTGTAGAAGTCTGTTTTTGAGGCTTGTTTACGTGTCTTCTCATTTCCACAGGCGGTGTGTGTGTGGGGGGTTGCTTCTGGCACCCGTGCGGCTCAGCTTCTCTGCCCTAGGAGCTTGGGATTGCGGCGGGGGAGTTTCCTTCTGGGTGCTGGGACTGGCTCAGCTTCTCTGCCCTAGGAGCTTGGGATGGCATCAGGGGAGCTTTCTCCAGACCTTTTAAGATGTGCCAATTTGGTGTCAACTGGGCCAACACCTTTTCCCACACACATTTTTAGTTTTCCCCACCTGTTCCATTCCCCTTTTAGGATGAGACATCTTAGTTAATAAGCTGTCAGCCATTACTAGCAGACATGGTGGGAAACTAGGGAAGAGAACAAAGATAGTAAACCATGTCCCATCCTCATGTCCCACCTGCTACATTTCCAGGAAGCCTGATGATGCCTGCAACCACCATCCATCCCAAGAAGTGTAACCTCACTCTTTCCACCTCCAAATTCCTCATGAAAGCAAACTCTTCCCCTCCCCCTTAAAACTTTGATTCTCACCTTGGTCACTGCTGATTACCCTTTTCCCAAACTCAGACCACTTGTATGCTGTCACAGTGAATAAACCAGTCTCCTTACTTGCCTAAGGCCTGCCACTGGTGGTCTCTCTGCTCTCCCCCTACCTCTGTTACAGTAATTATCTGGAACCCAGGGGTGAATCCAGATTTTGTGGGGCCTGAACCTTATGAAATTTGCAAAGTGCCTTCTAATGAAAAAACATGCAACATTTATGCATACAGAGATTGACAGGGCCATAACCAGAGCTTTGGAAAGGGCCTTTGCAAGTGAGGAGCCCTAGAGCCTAGGCTCCATTCCAGTCATAGTAAATTCACCTCAGCTGAGATATTTGTACAAACCTTTGTAACATTGGAAAAAATTATATTTCAAGTTATAATCAGCCCCATGACTGAATCTGACTGGTCATAAAATTACTGGTATCTTAACTTGGCAACTTCCTTTTGGAAAGAGATATAATAGGCTTCTATCTCATTATGGCAAATGTTACACTACTTTTGTCTATTAGAAAGATTAGACCCTAAACAAAGGTGCCCAGCTGCAAACACACACTTTGTGGATTGTGACCATTGTGTCAATCTTTTCTCTTTTTTTAGGGGGGAGATAGGGCCTCACTATGTTGCCCATGTTGGCCCCCAAACTCCTGAGCTTAAATGGTCCTCCCTGCTTCCACCTCCTGAGTAGCTGGAACCACAAGTACATGCCACACTTGGCTCATTGTGCAGATCTATCAAAGCAACTGTAAATTAGTTTCAGAGGCACAGCTCCATCCAGATCACATGATACAAGTATTAATGTCAACACGAGTTAGCTCTCATTTTCTCATCTCCATGAAGCAACTGTCTTTCTGTTAAGATAAACCTTAAAATCAGATGTAACAAGTTGGTATCTCCTCCATTATGGGTCTTTTCTAACCCACCACCCATTCCCACTTTGCCTCAAAAGCAAATTCTCAGTGTTCATTCTCCCAAGTTGGGCATCAGCAGATTGATGAGGGGAGAGAGGAATCACTACACTTGAGGATGCAGGTGAAGTTAACCAGCTCCAGGCACATCCTAACCCTCCCTCCACGGAACTCAAAATAAACTGTGTGAACCTGGATTTTGGAACCCACAAGACAGGTGGACAGTCTTTCCGAACATCAAGGATAGAGGAGAATTTTCACCTTGAGTCTAAAATCCCCTTCAGGCCATTAAACATCAGAATTTTCAATTGGAAGACAATAAAACCCACACTTCTTATCAAAGGTAGCAGGAACGAAAGCAAATGGAATAAGGCTAGAGCAATGTATTTTTATTTATATTTTTCAAACTGTCACTCTACAGAAACACTACCTATTGCACACAGATAATTCATAACTTCAGAAGTACATACTTTTCAAAAAATAACATTCTGAGTGGGTAGGGAGAGAAGTACCTGGTAGCAGGTTTTCAGGAATTCTTTCCATTTAGAAGACACTGGCACTGAGAAAGCACCTGTACCTTTTGCTCCCTGGAGAATATTACATTAAACTTAATTATTTGAAGCTCTCTGTTGTATATATTTGAACAGTTGGAACTCAGCATGTGAGAAGGAATCAGAGTTAAACTGACAAGTGGAATTTCAAGGACCATACACATGTCAGAGCAGCATCCCTGAGCTTCCAAAAGTGCTAATTTGGGTGTTACTTGTACAATACCTCATATTGCCCATGCCAAAGATCAGTACCTTGGAATGCAGGCCATGTTACCTAGAAGTTAAAGAAGTCAAGCCAGGCACAGTGGCACATGCCTGTAATTCCAGAACTCAAGAGGTTGAGGCAGGAGAAATGTGAGTTTGAGGCCAGCCTCGGGTACACAGTGAGTAAGTACATGGCCACCCTGGACTACATAGCAATACTCTGTTACCAAAACAAGTTATATACAAGTCTCTTGGGCTCTTTGTACCTTAGTTTCCTCATTTCAAAATAATGAATGGGTCTTAAGACATACTTTTCAGAGTTCATACAGGACTTAGACCCAGCTAACCAATATCTGCACGAAATTAACACATAGATTTTGTTTTTGCATGTGTTTATCATTCATTTCACTTACACTGGTGTAAAAACTGCATCCTGTGCCATGCTTGAAATGTTCCAAAGCTCAGTTTCATGAGTAAATTACAATGAAGATTTTTACAAAAAAAGACATAAGCCAAAGAAAAAAGATACTCTTTCTGAATATTTATCATTTGGCAGTAATCCTAAATGATATACAATGAAACATAACTTTCAATACTTTTTCCATATAAAAAAGAAATCTCACTGGAAGAAATTGACTTATAATTTATACTTTCAGAGCTGGGGGTGTAGCTTAGTGGTAGAGCACTTGCCTAGCATGCACAAGGCTATGAGTCCAATCCCAAGTACAGTATAATTTATATTTTCATATTTATACCTGCAATGCATTAGATATAAAAGAGTGAATACTTAATAAACACATGTTGAGTGATCTTTGATTCTCTAAAACAGGATTTCACAACCTCAGCGCTACTGACATTTGGAGCTGGACAATCCTTTGTTGCGAGTGTCTGACTGAACAGTGTAGGATGGTTAGCAGCATCCCTGGTCTCTGCCCACTAGATGCTAATGGCAGTATCCACAGTGCCACATGCCACCTGGGTGCAAAATCATACCAATTGAGCATCACTGCTCTATAATGATTCTCTCTGTCCTGTGCACTAATCCTCATACTGATCTTTGGTAGAGATTAGAAGGATTTCAAAATGAGTAGCAAAGAGGTTTATAAAACTGCAAATATAATGAAGTTATATTTGTAACTTACACGAACTTCAAAAACGGTAGTGCTTCAAATGTACGTCTTTCAATAAACTGGATTTTATTGCAGGATAAATCTCTAGGAAAAGAAAAATGGAAATATTGCCTTGAATAACTATTAGATCTCTAATTAGTATGAATAAATACTAGACTTTAGAATTGGTAATACTGAAAACATATTTTGTCTAAATCTTTGGACTTGTAGCTGAACATTCTGGATCCCATACCCTGTCTATACTTCCTCTAAGATTCTCACCTTCATGATCTTCATAAAGAAAATACACAACTATAGATCCTTTTTCGTTAGTTGCTTTTTTATTCTGCCTTAGGGAGGTAGTCCAGGCTGGCCTTGAACTGGCCATGTAGCTCAGGCTGGCCTCAAACTCATTAGGATCTTGTCTCAGCCTCCCAAGTGCTAAGACTGCAGGTGTGCACACTCATTTTCTTTTTAATACAGTTATTTTTACATCCTATCCCTTCCAAGCATCAACTGTTTGAAAGCATGAACTTGCTTTCACATGACATGCACTGTACACCATGTGTGAGAATGACATAAATATTTGAGTAAACTCAAAACATTTATAAAGTAAATAGCTGGGAATGAAGCAAACCAAAATAACTATTTCAGAATGAATATAGTGTATTACCACATGACTTGCTGCTGTCCTGCAACTCTGCAACACTTTGTCACCCAGTCAGTACCGGCTGTGTTAAGGTTTGAACTCACAGGTTTGGGTCCTGTAGGAGCCCTCTAGTTCCCAGAGGACAGGAACTCTGTCTTATTCATCTTTGTGCCTCCATACTGCCCATAGTGCTGGGATATTCTTTTTGAGATATTTTTTATAGGTGGGCATTTTTCAGTGAATGAGGATATACATGTGATACTGTGAAATTATTAGGCTATAGAGTACTTCACAGTATAAATATGAAAGGTGTACTCCATTGAACATCTGGTTTGTTTTTCTCCAAACCCTGTCTGTAAGGTTTGGGAGCCCAGATGAAAAAGGTACTCAAGAAGACCAATAACAAAGCGGTCATTCCCTTAGGGCATTGATTGCAAACCTTTTAGAGCCCAGTGCCCCAACTGCAACCCAAAACCCACTTATTTATCTCCAAGTGCCAACACTGTAATTAAACCTGAATTAGTGAGGTCTTAGTTTAGAAAAAACAACTCATATATTAACCTCTTTTGTCTTCAAAGAAAACAACAGGCTCGGGGCCTAGAAGGTTTCCTAATTCAAAAGACTATTTTGAGGCCCATATAATGTAGGTTCTTTTTGCTCATTTTCTTTAAGCCTTCTACATTTGAAAGAAGGCTCTATTTGCTAAAATATCACTAATTGGCTTAATTAAGGGTAATGAAATTCTCACTTCTGGACCTCCTGGACAAAAATAAAAATCAAACTTTCATACCAAAGAACAAAGTATCTTCTTTTCTCTAAACAGATAAAAATACCATGCAAGTATTTCCTCCTTGGTGACAAAGCTGCAGAGATTTTTATTGTGTTATTAGTGAAGAGAGGGACATTTCTACGCTGAGTGTAAACATTTCTAGCTATACCATTTAACCATCATTTTAAATACCTGTTTTTAACATGGGGGTAACAATTCCTGCATTGAAATACTGGCAGTCTATTCTTCTGGTAGCATAACCACCTGGCTAATATTATAATTTACCTGTTTAGTTAACTATTTAATACATAAGTGTTAATTTCATTCAGATTAAATTGTCCAAGCACTCTGGGTTACTGTCATTCAAATGAACATAGGTAGCTTATACAGTATTTTGTTCTCCTTTAAGCATCACTCTAAAGTTCATTTTAATTATTTTGTTCTAATTCAGCTTTTTCAAACCTTTTTGTAAATCCCAGATAGTAAATTATTTGTAGACTTTCCAGGTCATATACAGTCTCTTTTGGGGTTTTTTCCCTTTTATTTTACAGCACTTAAAAAATGGAAAAACAGGGGCTGGGGATTTAGCTCAGTGGTTCCGCTGCCTGCTGCCTGTCACAGGCACAAAGACCCGAGTTTGATCCGTGGTCCACCCCCCAAAAAAAGGAAAAACCATAATTAACTTAGGAGCTGAATAAAATTGACTGTGGATCAATTTGATCCATGGGCCACAGGGTAAATATAAATACAAGAAAATATACATACAAGATGGCACATGAACACTTATAAAACAAGATTCATATTGGCATCTGTAAATCCTCAGGTCTTAATATCACTTTTCCTCTGTAAGTGGAGTTTTTTCCCATTTGTATGTTGTCTATATAATTCAAAAAACTGAAAATGTATATAGGATATTTGATATTAGATACAGACTGAGACCTACACAGACTTATATAATTGCAGAACTTTACTGCTGGAACAGATTTTGGAGAATATCTAATTTAAATCCCTATTCATTGTATAGATAACATATGATTCACAAATAAATATTATTAACCAACTCACAAATACTGGAGGGACACCAGGCCTTCAAAAGAATCCTTATGTAGTTCAGTGATGTAATTTCCACTGAGATTTCTGGAAGATCAAAAGGTTATTTCTGAATCAAACTTCATCAAAAACATGAAGACTATCCAGTGGTGGAAAAGTTCAAGGAAATGAACATTGTCAAATTCTGCTGCCTGGAGTGTGGTGGCACAATGTTTTTTCACGGCAATTAAAGTCACATCTAACAACAGTCTTCACACCAATAATGCCTTTTTTAGGTACCTGTTCTACAGGAATACTTGCCCATGTTCAAAAAGAAGCATGTACAGGAATGTTCATTGCATGATACAGGTACCAAGAAAACTGGAGAGATCCCACACCAAATAAAAGATCCAACCAAAAAATGGGCAACTAAAATGAATAGACACTTCTCAGAAGAGAAGTACAAATGGCCAATAAATACATGAAAAAAATGGACCGGGGATTTAGCCCAGTAGTTCCATTGCCTGCCTTGCAAGCTCAAGGACCCGAGTTCAAACCTTGGTACCAAAAAAAGAAAAAAATGTTCAACATTTCTGGCCATTAGAGAAATGCAAATTAAAACAACACTGAGATTTCATCTTATTCCAGAAAGAATAGTTACCATCAAGAAATCAAACAACATTGGGCCGGGGATTTAGCTCAGTGGTTTCGCTGCCTGCTGCGCAAGTGCAAGGACCCGAGTTCGATCCCCAGTTCCAAAAAAAAAAAAAGAAGAAATCAAACAGCAGGGCTGGTGATTTAGCTCAGTGGTGCCACCGCCTGCCTCATAAGCACAAGGTCCTCACTTCGATCCCCAGTACCAAAAAAAAAAAAAAAGGAAGGAAAGAAATCAATAACAAATGCTATTATGGTCTCAGGGAAAAAGAAAACTCTTCTACACTATAGGTAAAAATGTAAACTAGTACAACCACTATGGAAATCAATATGGAGATTCCTCCAAAAACTAAGACTAGAAACTCCACTTGACCAGCTATTCCCCTTCTAGGCATCTTCTCCAAAAAGTTAAAGGCATCATATTACAGGAATACATTCATACTCGTGTTTATAGCAGCACAATTCATAACAGCTAAATCTTGGAAGGGGTATGTCCACCAAGAGATGAATGGATAAAGAAAATGTGGTATTTACACATAATGGAGTACTACTCTGCCATAAACATGAATTTCAGTCATGTGAGAAAAATGGATGCAACTTAGGATCATAATGTTAAGTGCAATAAATCTGACACACAAGCTTAAATATCTTATGGTTTCTCTTATATGAGAAACCCAAAGTATAAGAAAAGAGCAAAATAAAAGATAGATAATAGGAAGAAAGGAGAGATCATTCTCAAAGGGGAAGGAGATCAAGCAGTGGAGAGATGGGAAGGGAGGGAAAGGAAAGGGGATGAAAAAAGGAATGAAGATGAACAGTATTATGTACATGTACCAACTCTCCATGAGAAATGCAGTCACTATGTACTGCAATGTACTAATAAAAAATAAAAATTGGAAAAAAAATCTGCATATGCTCTAAATACCCATCAACAGGGAAATTATTAAAGACACAATGACATACACACATTATAGAATATTGTGCAGCAGTTTAAGTGAATAGGGTAACCCTTTATGTATCAGGAAGGAAAGAACCCTGATGTATCAAAAGTGAAAGAATGAAGTTGCAGGATATTATAATTTATGTAAAAAAAAAAAAGATGACAGCCACCTGAAAAACCTGTTTTGCTGTATGTAAACAAGTATGTAGGCAAATATATGGGAAAAATCTGGAAAGATATATAGCAAATTCAGACTAGTGGTTACCTCACTGACAGAACATTAGAAGGTCTTTACTATACCTGCTATTTCATTTTTTATTCATTAAGAATGTAATAATAGCCGGGGATTTAGCTCAGTGGTTTCACTGCCTGCTGCACAAGCGCAAGGACCCGAGTTCAATCCCTGGTACCAAAAAAGAAAAAGAAGGTCTATGAAATTTACTTGTCTGTCTGTCCTTCCTTCCTTCCTTCCTTTCTTTTTCTTTCTTTCCTTTCCTTTCCTTTCTTCATTTATTTTTTAGTTCCAGAGGTGGGGTTTGAACCCAAGGCCTCACATATGCTAGGGAAGTGTTCCATCACTGAGCTACACTTCCAATCCACAGGAAATTTAATTATTAACCATAAAATTTCAAGTGAGGTTGATCTGGGGTAAGACTGGGAAATACCTTTTCTCATAAGTATTGACCTCAAAATTCTGGACCAAGAAGGATCTTACAATGAAGATTTTATATTCATATTTGGAAAGAATGTACTCAGTTTCTCAGCCCAACAGTATGTTTTCCATGCCTTTTCTTGAATACCATGAATAAAATTTCCTTGGAAGTTCTGTGAAGAAACAGTTTATATCCTTGAATAACTAGGAAAGAAATGAGCAGAACAAGTAAAAGAACCCTGGTGATCTCCAGGACACTCAAACAATGATAACATAGCAGCTTTTAAATTTCCAGAGCTGACAGTTTCCCAGTTTGCACAACAAAGGAGGACTGTGGAGCCACTAGCACAAATGATGAGATTTCTCCTCAGAAGCTGAACTTCCTGTCTGTCCAATCTCCTGGATAAATAATGCCAGTCAATTACTTCTGACCTAAGTATCTCTCCCCAAATCACTTGTGTCTAAGCCGACCCCTTCTATAAATCAGTAAGTAAATGATAAATAATTCAACAGCAAAATGGGCCAAAATGTATCGTTAGCAAACAAGAATAAAGAAACCCTATGCCAGGTACCACCAAAGCTTTCCCTAAGTACCCTTTGTGGAAGCTTCACCAGGCAGAGGAAGGATAAAGACAAATAAAGCTGGGCCGGGGATTTAGCTCAGTAGTTTCGTTGCCTGCTGTGCAAGCACAAGGACTGGAGTTCGACCCCGGTACCAAAAAAAAAAAAACCAAAACAAAGACAAGAAAAGCTTAGAGGAACTGATGTGATGATGTGGAAAAATCACTTGGACTTGAGGCACAGGAAAAAAGCAGGAACCACAGAGCAAGGAGGAAACCAGCACCTTATTGGCGGGGGAAATGCAAAGGAGAGAAAGGAAGAACACACACCGAACTGGTAACAAGGCTTATCTTCTGGGTGATGGGTAAGGGCATCAGGGTGGTCAAGGGTATGGGTTTCACATTATTCCACATATATCTGATTCCTTTTAAGAGTGAGATCTATCCACAAGTGGCACATGTTGAAAAAAAGCTATTAAGCTGGGCATGGTGGCGCACACCTGTAATCCCAGCACTCAGGAGGCTGAGGCAGGAGGATCGCCATGGGTTTGAAGCCAGCCTGGGCTAGCCTGAACTACATAGGGCTCAGTTTCAATTCTGTGGAAATTCATTCATTATTCCTCAGCCAAAACTTTCCTATTTAGTTTACATACATTTTTTCTTGGGGTGGGGAGGGAAGAAATCAGTCTGCTCATCTGTCTAGTGAACAGTTCCATGCAACCAGAAGCAGTCTTATTGCTTCATGCTCACCAGTGAAAGTGCCTCAAATGGAACTTCTCTCCCTCAAACTGGCTCTCCTGGCTGCTGCTGCCCTCTGTGATACAACCGCCATTATCATCTCCACACGGGATGGAAATGGTGGACCGTGTTTGATTTTGCACTTCTCTGTCCACCTTAACCCCAATTCTTCACTCAATCACGTAGCACTCCCAGGATTATCACCACCACTCTGCTCAGCCACTTCTCCCTTTATTCCTAGATGTCCTAGAGCTTTCTAGATGGTCTTCCTGAATTCAGCTTTCCCTTCTACATCACTCTACATATGGATTCTAACAGAGTCCTCCTGTTTTAATCATTTTGCTCTCTTGCTTGAAAACTTTCACTGGCTCTCTGTATCTGTCTTACTTTCAAACCCCTAAAGTTGATGTTCAAGGTTAAGAATTCAAGATAATGTCTCTTATTGCTTTGTAACCCAATCCTTTGCAGGCAGACTGACTTATCAAATCCTGTTCATCCCTGCTGCCATGCCTTTGCCTGGTTTGAGCTTCCTGCATTTCCTCTACTTGACAATTGCAGCCACTCTAAGCACCAGGTAAGGTTTGATCTGACCCATGCAGCTTTCCCTAACCGTCACATCTGTGGTTCCAGGTTCTGAAGGATGACAGCACCTAAGGTCTCCATCCTCTCCTAGCTCATAACCACACACCTTTTAATGCTTTTCTGCTCCCTTCTCTCCTATTATTTTCATGTTCCAGAAAAAAACATTATCCTCCTATAGTTCCCAAGATACTTAGCCTTTCTGGGTTGGGCACACACTGGATGCTATATATAGAAAGCAAGGCACAGAGGCAAGTTCTGTACATAATTCAGGGACTGAATAATAATAACAGCTAATATTCATTTATAGGCATGGTGCTGACATATGTATCACAGGTGCTTACTCTTCTAAATCTCACAATCCTATGAAATGGTAAATATACTCATTTCACAGATGAGGAAACTAAACTTGCAAATGATTATAAAGCAAAAAAAAAAAAAAGAGAGAGATCTGGGTTCAAACTCAGGCAGTCTGAGTCAGGCAGAATCTATTCTTTTTTCAGAGGGGGTTACTGGGGATGGAACCCAAGGCCCTGCACATACAAGATGAGCACTCAACCTCTGCGCTACAGCCCCAGGCCCAGAACATTCTCGAACCCACTTTGTTATAGCATCACTAAGGAAATGAGTTGTAAAAAGGGTGGGGCAAAGAGCAAGGATTAAGCAATGGTGCCGTAGTACTAAATTTTAAAAAAAGGATAAGAAGAAAAGGAAATGGAGCACACTAGTATAAAGGAGAATGGGACAAGGAAATGTTGGAAAGAAAAAAGTAAAAGCAGAAAATTAGTCAACATGAACTGAGGAAATGAGGACAGCCCAGGAAGTCCTGGAAGAAAAGGCTGCCAGGTCAGACATAGTGCAGAGTACAAGTGAGGAAAGGGTCATTCTTTTTTTTTTTTTTGGTACCAGGGATTGAACTCAGGACCTTCCGCTTACAAGGCAGGCTCAGGAACCACTGAGCCAAATCCCTAGCCCAGGAAAGGTCATTCTTACAAGACTGTGAAGGTGTTGCTATAGGTGTCAGGCTCCAGTACAGGTACTTGGTGCAGCCTCTGCACTGGGCTGAGACCAATACACGACAGGGTCTTGTTTTCACAGGTACAGAGCTCACATATTTTGATGGCTCTGGTGGCACTGTGCTCAGTTAAAGCCTTTTCTGGCATGTAATTTACAGAATACTGATTTGTAGTAGGTTTCACATCCAAAGGTTGAAACGTGATGGGAGTCAGGTGTGGGTGTACAAGTGTCATCGCAGGCTGCTTCAGAGCAGGAGATGCTTTCTGCAGGGCCACAGAATGGTCAGCCTCTGTAGTGAGTTCAGGACTTATCCTAAGGCCCACATTCAGTGGTTGTACCGTGACACTGGGTAATGCTGGAGGCTGAGCTGGGTCCTCCTGCTGGCTTAAAGAAGGTTCAAGTTCCTCAGGGGGCTGTGAGAGTTGACCTGGGGCTTTTCCCTGAGATACAGAAAACTGGATTTGGAGAGTCTGTGGATTTTGAGCTTGGGCCTCCAGCTGGAATTGTGATGATTCCTTGTGCTCACAGGGCTGTGGAGGCTCCTCTGGGTTCTCCTGATATCCCAGATATAGGCTCTCATGGTCAGCTCTAGCCACACTCGGATCTACATTAGCATCCTCCACGGTTTGTTTCTGAAGCTTAGGTGTTGCCAGTTGATAGCGAGTTCCCAAAACCTCCTTAGCAAGTTGCCAGTGCTGAGTTAGATCCTTCTTCAGGTTCAGGTTTGAAGCAAACTGTGATGCTGTCGAACCCTTACTCACTGGAGGTGGAGCAAGTAAAAGTGACTGGTGGTCTGCAGCCTGCTCTTGAGCTGGAGTCTCAATCCTCCTTTCGAGTCGAGGAGGCAAAGCTAGAACTTGGTTCTGATCCCCATCTAGCATTGAAACCACCTCTGGGAGCCTCTCTTGCCTGGCAACCTGGTCGCCCAGACCCTGATGTAGATCAGTTAACTCATCTGGCAACAGCTCTCCAGTCGACTCCAGAGGTAGAAGAAACATCTTGGTAGGCACAGAGGACCCGAGGTAATCAAATCCCCCTGGCTCCTCAGAGGCAGTAAGGGCGTGGAGTGATTCCTGTGAGATAGTAGACGTATAGGGAGAAAACAAAAAATTGGGCCCCAAGGGCTCAGATTTCAGTTGGTCTGGGTATTGGACCCACTCTGGAAGTGGGACCACCAGGCCCAGGAGCCACAACTGTGGCCACACAGTGAGCCCTAAAACCCAGAAGCAAAGTACAAACATAATAATACAAGGCTTGGTCACCAAGACTAAGCCAGTAAGGCTCCATCCAAACACCTGCCGGAATCTTTCTGGTGGGCACTTGCTGCAAATGCCTGGGTAACCTTGTACATTCCACCATCCCCCACCATTTGTGACATCATTGTTTAAGAATCTTTAATAGTTCTGGCCCAGATGGGCTTACCATGGCCTTAGGGAGCTTCATGTTACAGTGACCAGGGCCAACTCCTTGCCCCCAGTACAGGTGATAGCAGCTTCTTGCAGGGTCATCTCCCTGTAGAAAGGCAGGATATGGGCCCCATACCTATGTAGTCTATGCATTCAGCAGCCCATTGGGTGTGGCATGGAAGACCTTCCCATGAAAGTCACAGGGCTGGGCCTAAAAGGATACTCAGAAGTAGTAACCCAGTCTGGCAGCCTGAGGTCTTCCTGCTCCCCAGAGAAATTCTTCCTCCTCTTGGGTATACAGCTTCTATGAAAAGCAACTGACCTACACAATGAGGACCAGTTAGGGTGGTAGGCAGGAGAATACACAATATGGTGATTTATTCCACAATGCTGCCATTTGCTCTAAACTCTCAGTATCTGGTTCCATGTTTGATAATTCATTCCCCTTTGTTGGACTGGAGATGCATATATTCTGTGATGATGCCACAATGGGTTTTGGAGGTGGGCAATTGGATCTAAGAGAAAAGGTTTGAATCCGAGAAGCCAGTTCTTTACATGAGTATGGGAGAACTCTCCCCAGCCCACCATGGCTCAGCATAGTCATTCATCTAGGTATGACGCCATTTTTCACAACACACGTGGATTAGACATTTAGGATGTTAAAGTCTGCAGGCTAAATAATTTTCTTGAAACACTACTATAAACTGGGCATGATGGCACATACCATAACCCCAACACTCAAGGCTGAGCCAGGAGGACTGCAGTGAGTTCCAGGCCAGCTTGGGCTACATAGTGAGTTCAAAGCTAGCCTGAACTCCAGAGAGAAACTCTTTCACAAGAACAGGGAGAGAGAGAAAGAGAGAGAAAGAGAGAAAGAGAGAGAGAGAGAGAGAGAGAGAGAGAGCGAGAGAGAGGGAGGAGAGGGGTACTACTGAAATGGCAAGGTTTCTGTTTCATTGATAAAGCTCATTACCGCTAGTCCAAAAGGATGGAAGGCACACCAGGAGCCTTGGAGACAAAGTAAAGCTTTATTAATGCCATGGGTCAGCCTGTGTTCACACATGGGTGACTGGCCCCGTCCAATGCTTGAACAAAGTAGATATACACTTTGGGAGGGGGCATTACAAGTGAGGTACTCTTGGTGTACACTCATCGGTTACAGAATTTGATTATGCACTAACAGGCAGAATCAAACATGGCATTGGCTCACATATAATACTGGCAGCAGGTTCATTGGGTAATTTAAAATATGGGAGTTAATACCTCATTTGTATCTGAGCAGAAAGACAAAACTACTTTAGAGACAAAGACATTCTTGAGATGTGGAAGTTGGCTTGGGCATGTCCAGGCCTATGAGATGGGCATATGAGGTGGGACAGGCCCAGACATTTTGAACAAAGAAAATTTTATGTAGGGAATTTCCTGTAGTAAGTCCTGCTTGGACTACGGAGGCAAAATTCCCCTTTCGCTACGATAAACTGACTTCCTTCACAGCCCTTTTTCATCTGTTTTATTACTCATTTCTTACCTGGCACAGCCCTAGCATGTGAAATTCAAGAAGAGGGTTCGTTCATCCTCTTATCCCTCCTGCCTTGCACGAGGCTGGGCACATTGTAATGGTTTTAAAATAGAATTAATTCCGAAAGTCACCTCATGTAGAGGTGGATTTGGTGTTAAAATCAGATTTCTGAAATCAGTGATGACTTCCTCTTTCCACATTGTACAGGAAGCTAGAGTCCTTAAAGTTTGAAGCTTCTTTGGTTTTATTTAAATTAAACTGAAATCACTGTTTTACCTGGAAAAAATTCAGATACTTTTCCAGAACATAACTACATTCTCCACCTTTTCAAAACAAACACTTTCCAATTTTTAATCAAAAATCCCCAAATTAAGTCCCACTGGCACAAAACATGTTTTTTGCCTCTTTCTTTTCCAAACATCCTAAACATAGTAAATAATGACAATTTTCTTTTAGAAATTACTTTGGAAAACTTATCCCTAGTTAAAGGTTTCATACTAGCTCACAGTGTGAGAGAAGCAGCTCAAACCTACAGAGGCACAGTTACTATGAGTGACGCCAGAGGCTTTCATGGAGAAATGCACCAGTCCAACAGAGCAGTACGCACTGTGGACTGCAGTGGCTGGTGAGTCATTCCAGTTCACATGTCCCCAAGAGACAGTCCCCAAGAGACTGACCAGTCACCATTTTGGAAAGGGGTCACCTGAGCCCAGGACTCAGAGCAGCCACAAGTTGGTTCCATCTAGCGCTCCCAGTGTCAGGATGAGGCACAGCTGTGGGAGACAGAGTCAGGGAGACATGAGTTCAAGCCAGTAAGAGGCACCAAGAGTGTTGTGGGCTGAACAATTTAGGATCCAGCCTCACAGGACTCCTGACACCAGAATCAGCCTGAATTTCATCAGAGTTGAAAGCGCAAGCTTGCTGGGATTATTCCCCACCCCCCTACAATTCTGCAGGCTTGTTGGGATCAACCAACACAGATCTGGGCTCTGACTGCTCCTTTTGTCTACCAATGGTAGCAGAAACATGCCCTGAAGTGGACTTTTTTTCTTCCTTTGTTTTTT